ACCAGCATGTGAAGATTAATCAGCAAAATCTGCTCTACCATTCTTGCAGAACACCAGAATCCCTTCTTCGGTGCAGGAGCAATATAAACAGAATTTAAATGCTCTGCTCTCTGAACGCACTGAACATAAGATATCCTATCTGCAACATATTTGCATGTTCTGGTCTCTTCCGAAGGGTCTACAGAATATTAAAAAAAAAAAATCTTATATATACCATTTGAGATGTCATTCTATTAAGACCTTATAAGGGGAAAACAGGCTTTTAGAGGAACCTGGATTAAAGCCAACTACTATGACAAGTAAACAGATCACAGGTCATGCTATTCATGCTCTGCCATAGTAAAACAGTAGTTATCACACCTGGAACTCTAAATATTAATAGTCACTTCCATAAATTTGAGAAGTGCATACAAAGCACAAGCTAAAACATTAGTTTTTTCTCTCTAGATTTTAGAAAGTTAGCTACTGACATCTGACTATATTTAACTGCATGCTGTATTACACTGCTGCTACACGAACAAGTAACTACTGGCAGGTTTAAACAAGCAAGAGAGCAGGAAAAAGTACAGGGATAGTATTTAAAACTTCAGAGGAAAACAGTCCCAACAGAAACCTGAACGGACTTACCATGGATTCTGTTCTTCCAACAACAGAAAACCACATTTTGATCTCCGGGACTACAGATCCTTGAAAGAAAAAGAACAATTCTCCACTTCTCTCTCAGCCCTCAACAGCAACTACCGCTCTAGTCTGCTGGATTTTCCAAGATACCCATCAAGATAAGTCGGAGCTGGATGCTATGACACAGTGTAGCATTTATCAACACCAGCTATAACCAATACAACAATATTCAGGCTCTTACGTAATCAGTTATGCTGTTCTGACTTCCATTTACTTTAGAGGCTTTATTAACCTTTGAAAACAGCTAGAAAAAACAAAAAGGGAGCCCTTTTGTACAAAAGGCAAAAAACCTCCAAATTAAACAGGAAGTAATGTGCTGGCCCGCAGATGGCTGAGGAGTCACATGCGAAAGCCCCCAAAAAGCGATATATTTTTAAAGTAAACTGCATGCACACGCTGCTTTCCAAATCATCTGGATCTCATAAAAACTTAAACCGCAATGTGGTTGGGAGTCAGGCAGCTTTTAACATCAAAACATCTTTCAGAGTCAGAGCAACCAAATTCTGCACACAACCTCAAAAAGCAATACGGTCCCCGATGCCCGACCACTCCTACCAGCTACGTTTCCACACACCTATGACAAAAGCTACTGCTAATAAAGCTACAGGAGAATTACTGTAAGAAAACATGCAACACCTACAAAAGGTTAGAACAGCAAGTTACCTTTCTGGATCACATCTGAAGCTACACAATTTAACTTCAAATAAAAATCACAACCTGTGCATTCAGTTTAAGAAATGCTGTTAGGTATTTTCCCAATTTAAAACAACCCCCCCCCCCCCAAAAAAAACCCAACCCCAAAAACAAACACACACAACACTGTTTGCAATGCTCTGGCACCCAACAGATGTTTCATAACTAAACTTGTTCTCTCTGGTACGTATGCATATAGCGTACATGCTTACTACGTGGTTGCTCAAAGGGGCTGTCCTGCCCCAGAAAACTCCCTGAGAGCAAAGCGAGGTAGATGAGGTGATGCGCAGCATTTCTGCTCTCTCGGCACTCCTGGCAGGCCTGTAAAACTTCTCTTTCGCAGCTACTCGTATTCTATGTAATTAGAAGTGATGTACTTAAACATTTTACCTGCCATTAGGTGGAAAGGGGATCAAACATGAGTCTTCCCCACCCAGAGACCTAACGCTTTCATACACTCCTTGGCTTACCTCCTTTGCTTTTTGTTTTCACATTGATGTCAATGTGCTTGCAGTCAGCCAGTATCACAAACTGAGCCCACCTTCTGCCGTAAGGACAGGCAGGTGCCCAGCATTTCAACCACGCCACGTCGCTCCTCTGCCTGTACAACCTTAGCTTCAACTCCCATCACCTTTGTCGATCGCCACAGGAAGGCGCGACCACCACATTTGGGGTGGAAGGGGTACGTAAGGTACAGTTACCTCGTTTCCTCATTGAAAACTCCTAATTGTCACAGACTTTATCTATCTACAAAACCTTGCAAATGAATAAAAACTCAAAGAATTACCAAACGATAAATTTGTTAGATGTTTCCTCAGAGATAAGCGCAGGTTACTAGGAAACCGCAGATTTTTTGCAATGGGTGGAAGGAAGAAAAGCAGCCAGCAGAATTCCTTTTCTTTACGGTCTCTGAGAACCTGCCCACTACATCCACCTCTAGAGAGTCACCAACCTATGTTTTAACCAACTCCATCCAAAGCCAGCGACAGGAACGAGGAGCCCATTAAGACTTCAGAAGAAAGGCAAGTCGGCACTGACACGCCAAGGCCTTCTCACAGCGCGTTACCGAGAGCAACTGCTTTGTCACATCGCAGGAAAAACACAACTGTTTTCTTAACCAAAGCTGCGTAGTTTCAGGGTTGTCTTTCGCTGGTTGGAGCAGGGCGACCTGTTGACCAGCCACTGCAATTTCCTTTGTTATGGTATTTCTGAAGCCCTCTAGAAACCAATAGTTCAATAAATGTAATTGGGTCAGCAATCAAACTGGGATCCTGTGTATGGCAGCAGTAACTGTGCATTTCTGAAGCCAAACAGGGGCTTTCATTTCTTCAGCTATAAGGTACTGTCATATGAGCATCTGAGAGCCACCATTTTACTACTAAAATGTTAGGAAAACCTAATCTCTCCACACACTTGCCTCTCCCTCTCATCTCAGATATTCTATCCAACTACTGTTTAGAATATTTCACCAAATAGTCTACTGGACTTCCTCCTGCATTTTCTTCAGCCAAAGGAAAAAAAGAGAATTATAGTTTTTATGCTGGTAAAAGATAAATAGCTTGATACATGTCAGAAAAATTATTAGTAAAACTTAACAAGACAGGAATGGAAAGAAAAAAAATCCACCCACTAATGCTAACTTCTCAGTCACACTCACTCAATTCTCTAATCTGTTGTGCTCTGGCCAGATTGAGAAAATTAATGCTTGCGTGTTCTTCCTTACTCTGTTATTTTTATGCAGCCTATTACAGGAAAAACATGCTATTAATTACTTACAATAAGCAACTTTGAATCACTTGAAATAACTCCTTGAAAATAATCCTATTTAACTACTACAGCAATTTGCTTCAACACTTAATGCAAGGCAATTACTTCTATCCAACGAACATTCTGCTGATTTCAAATCAAGCAGAAGTTTTCTATTCTACATACACTGAAGCCAAAATAAAAATCTGCCTCTTGCTTATTTCGGGTTGAGATTTAATACATAACCATTTTAAGATCAGAATTCCAACACTGTGGCAGGCACACGGCAGCAAGACCAAAAGTAATCAATGCCTGAACCAGTGTTTCTGCAATTGTGCTGAGATGAAGAATGCTTCTTCCATCACTGGTCACATTAGAAAAATCCTGAAATTGGATAAGTAACTTCTAAAAAAACCTTTCAAATCAAGCTTGCACACTGACCTGTAGCACTGTTAGATACTGCTAATGGAAGTATCAGGTGTTAAAACAGCATACAGAAGCCAGCTACACCCAGTGAAAAGGGAAACTTTTTCTCCTATTATATCCTGCTCCTCTGTACATGAGAAATCAGTTTACCAGTTTAAAGGAAAAAAAAAGTTTCCACTGCACATTTTGAAACATTGAACAGAAATGGAGATAACATTCACAAGTCTGATACTTACTTAATCTAGTGTATCTCAAGATCTAGTATTTGCTTCTCAAATTGTTAACCCACACCACCAAAATCAGAGCAGAATACCGAGTCACATTTTTCAGATCCTGAATAGCTTCCTCAGTAACTGGTGATTGTTAGCAACTACACCTGTATTCCTCTACAGATGTCACAAATAAATCTTAAAAGTTGATACCATGCAATATTACTGTTTCAAGACCAGACTATGAAATGTGTTGTAGGAAAAAAAAAACCCCACAGTGCTGTTTAGAAGCAATTAACTAGGTGAGGTAACTTAAAAGCAGTAAACCCCTGTTTATGTTAAAAGCAGTAAACCTCCGTGCATGTTTTCAGCCCATGCACAAAGTGCCAAGGAGGACTCAGCATTCTCAAGTTTCACCTACTACACAGTGAAGAGATGTTGGGAAAGACTTGCTGTCTGTTGTACACCACATAATTACAGCCAAGACTTTTGGGTATCACCACCGTGTAATTTATAACAAGCTTAAAACTCAAAGATTACGTCTGCCATGTGACCCAGTTAATGAAGCAAAGCCAAGCAACTAGTGGAGCCCTCCATCTGGTGGCTGGAGTTGCATGTGCATTCTAGACATTATCACCTAGTGCTACTAAAAGCAGCATACACCCACAATTTCGGCAAGTCAGGGCAAGAGGTGCACCCTCCTTCGCCAAGCTACTTAATATGCTGTAGTTCTCTATTATAAAGAAGGAAAACTGAATTCATACATGCATCTGTACACTCTGCAAGAGATAAGGTGTTGTCCTCACAGCAGAAGGTATACAAAATGTAATGTCTGTATTGGAATTATTTTTAAGTTGATGAGTGAATAAAATCCACCCATCTTACTCTGTATAGTTACTGCTTTTCTTTCCTAGATGCTTCTGCTAGTTTTCAGCAGAAGTGCTAGATAAACCTGTTTATTAATTCAATTTAAGTAACACTGCCAATCTTTGGTTCTGAAAAATGAATAAACCTGTAGTAGAGGTTTAAACTTAAATGTCGTCTACATCCGTACTACGTTTCCTCTTGTATTGGTCACATCTGCGTATTTCACAGAAACATTCTCCAGCCAGAATAAAAGTACGATCCACATGATGTGCACAACAAAATTAAGGGAAATAGATTTTTCATTAGCATTTCCTACAGTAGGCTGATTAAAAAAAGGCAGCGTTTTTCAGTAACACTTACACGAACTGACTTCCATACCTTGGCAGCAACAATGCTCAGGCCCATTCCATTCTGTTTTTTTAGTGTTACAGTGATAATTTCAGGTTCTTTCCTCAACGGCTGAGCCTATCAAACAGGGAAGGGGAAAGAAGAAAAGAAGACAAGAGTTCATATTCACTGTCAGGCTGGGAAAATTACTATGCAAACAGTTAATCTACAATCAAAACTAAGTTGTTAGTGCAGCAAAAGATCTCGCACCCTAAATAATATGTCTGGTACTCCATTTTAAAGGCAGAATTGCTAACATTTGATGGATGGATTCACACTATCGAGTACTACACCTGTGTTACGAACACTGCCAAAGCTTTGGAGTCTAACCCACTGTTTCTCTAATTCAGAGATTATTAATGATTCCTCATTTAAATGCAACAAGTCTGTAAAACTGTAGTAGGCCCTATTAGAAAGGTGAGGGTGATCTACACAGAGCTCAGTTTTTACTGCAGCATCTAGAAGATGTAATTCTACAAAGATATTAAGAGGCCAATTAATTTCAAAGGCAAAGTAAGAGTCTCGAAGGAAAATTCCAGAAATTTTCACTGCTGAAACCTCTGTAACTCGGAAACAGCCCAAGCCCCTATACACAGTCAGTAATTCTTCTGTGTCTTCGCAACATCACCAGTTCCTTGTATGCAAAAAGCTGCCAGTCTTCATTAGCTGAGGCAGGTGAATTAAAGCACCCTAGCCTGCATTCATGTTAAAACCTTCTAACTGCAAGTTCCACAAGACCCCTGACAAAGTAAAAAATCTAAGCAAAGGAAATTAATTTTTTAAAAAAACAACACTTTTTGATCAAGTTCGAGAAATGCAAGTCATTTTTAAGCTAGGAGTATTCCAGCACTCCTGTGCCAAGGACGTCAGAAAGACAGAATTGAACAAAAACCATACACATTGGAAAAGGTAAGCCACCAGGAACATAACTTTTCCATTAGTCTATACTGAATTTCTCTCTTGGACTAAGAATAGAAGAAATTCTCCAGGGAAAATTTGAGGACGACTGCCTAGCCTGGGCAATTCCCAAGACTACCAACAGTAGCAGAATTGTGAAAATAGTTTTGGCTTGGAAAGGGGGGAAAAAAAAAAAAAAAAAAAGAGAAAAAACAAACCCCCACCAAACACAAAAGACCTCATCACAGCTATAAAATGGAACACTTAGCTAGTGTTTAGATTACACAGATGTGTTGCACCAAGAGGTGATTCTGAACTGGCATTTAGAGCACTGCTCAGACTCCAAGACAGAGTTTTAGAACTCTGACGCTTAGCACATTCAATTAACATACATGCACTGAAGAATGATACAGATCAGGTTTTTTTTAGCAGTCTTACATGGTATTCCTTTCCATGGATTAATGAAATGGTAGCATCCACTCATCCTGCATTTCTTTATCAAGCCTTTTTAAGGAAGACTGCAAAACTCTACTTGAGCTTTTTCTTAATGCGAGGAACCCCAAGTACCCAGTATAACATTTCATGATTTTTGTTTCCACTAGCTCTAAAAAACCACATTTATTTGGAGCAACAAAGGGAGGAGGCAGAGCACAATGTCCAAGAATTTCTCTGCTTATTTTCCTCAGCCAAATGCCCATTTACCAAGACCCCAAGCCTGCAGAGCCTGGCTTATCAGTTCAACACTGGGCTCTGCTGTATTAGTCAGAGATTCAGGAGACGCTCTCTTCTGTAAACATGTTCTTTAGGCCACTGCAGCAAGACTGCATAATGTCATCTAACAAATGTCAGGTTCTGAACAGAGTAAATGAATCTTCCACGACCTTCTGAATAGTGAGGGGCATGTATTTTTCACAGAAGGCCTTAGGAACATAATCCTAGTTTCACACTGGCCCTCCTGATTTCACTGAAGTACTAATTATAAATATGAAGCTATTTCTGTTTAGTTGCTCTAAAAATTATTTTATACAAAGCCACCCTCTTTCCAAAGCCAAGCTGTTCTGTAACTTTGATATTCTTGTTTATCACACGTTTAAAACAAACCCAAAATCCCAAACATAAATAAATCCCGCAAAAAAACCCAAACACCCAAAACCAAAACAACCACACCACAACACAAACAAGCCACTTCACATTTAAGTGAAACCCTTTTTTAATTAGTATAACGAAAAGGAAAAATAAAGACTTTTTCCTGAAAAAGTAGTGGAAAAGAAAATAGTACCAGATTACCAGTTAATTAATACTAAACATTTAGCTGATAACTGCTGGTTTATAAATAAAAGTGGCCTGCGGCTCCATTCAAATTACAAGTTATCTACAGACACATGCCCATATGAATTTTTGTCTGTGTTTAAAAGGAGTTTCTTCTCTGTTCACCCCCAGGGTGTGGGGGGAACATAACAGACGAAGCTTGCTTAGGTGAGAATTATATCATGCCGCAGCCTAGAGAGACTTATAAAAATCTGCAAATGGTTCCTCAAATTCACCAAATCACTGGTGAACTGCATATTTAATAACGAAGCCTGTTCTTCCTAATAAGGACTTCAGCTCATCACATAAACCACAGTGGCTTCCCAAGGTATCACTTTTGACAATTATTCACTGAATCGATACTCACTAGCTCAGCATTCTCATGTGACAGGTGACTCTCGTAGTCTGCACCTTCAAAGTATATTGTCCATGTGCCTGGTGACCGTGGATGAGGTGTTAGTCTACAAAAACCTAAAAGAGAAAGTGGAACATCAACACAGTCGCGGTATATTCTCAACAAATTAAAATCAAATAGCCTGCCACAAGGAAACACCAAATAGCAGTATTTATCTTTTTATTTATCTTCTGTTAATGTGTTGAATCTTGTATCTTAAATGCCCTTACGTGTTTCACTGCAATTTTATGGTATCTACGAAATCCTACAGTTCTATAGCTCCTGCTTCTGAGAAACATACATATTTAAAAACACTACAAGCTTACAGAAAACTCTTGGGCTGCAACATATTGTGTGTACCAACCAGACTCAGAAGAGACAAACGCCGAGTCATGTTTTACAACACAAACCACCAAAACTCTGCATTAAGACAGCAGCACAGAAATTCCCTGCTTTGCAGAGAGTTTAGCTAACCAGTCGCAGCACAGATTCGGCCAAAGCTAACCTCTGCCTGGACTCATTACTTTTTTAATGCAATTATGCAATTCGAAGTGAAGTTTTGTTTGATTTTTTTCATTAATTGAGCATTTCCCAGAATTTTGAAATAGGAGCCAAAGCAGCTGAGAAGTATCCAACACTGTCTTAAATCAGGGACACTGAGAATCCACATCACAGTCAAATTGCAAATCCCTCCATCCAAATAGGTGAGATTCTCCACCTCACGAAGACCATCTTTTAGCAATTCAGTTTACACTGATTTACTGCGAACCAGTCCCTCAGTGTAATTTAAAGGATACCTAAAAAGTAAAATTCGGAATGTGTATGCATTAAAAAGGCCTCACTTGCAATAGATTTACAGATGTTTGTATGGCAAATGAATTATACCTACTAATTAAAGAATTTCTTCTACTAATCTCTAGTCTCAAGACCTGTACCTCACTGTACTTTCAAAACAGTCAGTATCCTACTTTTTTTTTTTTTAATTGCAAAAATAAGGCTTTTCTATAAATTAAGTTGGAACCAAGAACTGCAAAACTTCACTGTAGGGACACAGTAAGTCTGCTTTGTCAATAGCCTTCTTTGTTGTCCTACAGACCATGATATTCCCATGTAAATTTTTGAACAACTGCTTTTTTAAGCAGAAAATTATTAAGAAATTATGTAACAAAAAAGCTTCTAATAAAAAGGAAGTAGCGTAAGATAAGGATGATAACTTGTTCATTCACTGTACATGCTCTCACAGATCCCTGGCTTTATTTTCTCAAGTTCAGGTCACTTTTGTCCAACCACAAGAGCTCTCTATTCACCATCTGAAATTTTGTTGGGGCTACAAATGTCCAAGCCATATATACTTACAATGATGAACATTAAAAGAACTATTTTAAGCATGTGTTTTTTTAATGTTACACGGAAGCAGCCAATGAGCAAATAAAAGTGAATTTATTTAATTCACACTAGCTTTAAAAATAAGTTAACTGCAAAATTTCTGAAGTATTACAAAATTTCATCTATGTAAATTTTTCCTGCTCTAGTACCACAATACAAAAAAGCTCTGGAGCAAAGGTAAAACAAAGTTTCAGTAGGCACTGTAACTCAGCACTGCTTATTTAGAACCTTGAAAGTGAATTAAAGGGACAGGGAGAAAAGGTAAAGATTAAAAAATCCTGCATACTTTTTACAGGCTGCAAAAGCGAGCACTTGAAGAGCACAGTATAAAAATATCAAAACAAAGAAAAAGAAAGTGGTTTACAATTAACTAAAATATATTTTGCATTCTGTGTTCACTACACCAAAAAAAGATCATCATTGTAAATCACCAGAAGAACTAACCCCTCTGACAGAGTGGATCTAAAAATTCTTGTAAACCACTTGGAACATTTCTGACGACATCGCAGGAATAGCCATCTTCTGGTAAAAGAAAAGGCAGCTGTAAGTCAGGATCCTCTTCCAGCTGAACTTCACGGCCATCGCTGCGAGCAAGTTCATCAGCCGTATTTTCTGCCACAGTTACTACATTCTCTATCAATTCCTAGACAGAAGGAAGAAAGGCATTGTCAGTATAAAGGGATAATTTTCATTAAGGAAAAATAACATTAAGAAAATAAGAGTTTTACATGCTCCACTATGCATACTCATTACACTGCACTGCTTTATTTCATTAAATCCCATAGATCATGTACTTAGAAAATATAAACAGAAGCAATAATTTACTTCAGTATTTTCAAAACTTGTGGTGCACCGTTTTACTTGATCAGAGAGCTCTATTTAAAAATATATAGCATAGAACACGCATGTGCAGAGGGCGAAATCACAGGCAGATCTAAAATTCTGTTACTTTGTTGAGCGTATAAATACTTTTGTAAGACTAAATATATAGAAAAGGACAACTTGTGTAAACCAGGATTTTCAGCTCCACCAGGACCCATCTACCCACAGATGACAAACCGCATACACAGTTCTCTGGTTTGGAAGTTTTTAAGGCCTAATTTAATTCTACATTTTCTGGGAGCTCAATACAATGTGAAGGATCCCTTAAGATAGATGTCTACTTTTTAAATCACACTGTAGAAGGATGCAACCCAAGAGCAGGATTACTCAACATGCCTCAGGGAACTTCAAAGTTTTACATCTGGTGCACAACCAGTTTCTCTCTACAGCTTCTACTTGGCTCCCAAGACCAGTTTAACAGTTTGGTCTTAATCTCACCCCAGTTACACGAACGCACAACTCGGAATCTGTAATTCTGATACAAGGATTTTATTACTGGAACGCAATGCAGAACTCTGTTGAGACAAACCCACGTAAGCGTTCTCATCTGAATGTTTGGTTTCAGCAGATTTCCAGGGGGAAGTCAGATAAACGCAGCCTGTCTTTAGAAATGCTCTTCAAGAAGGGCCTTTTTACCATAGAAGGTGCGAATTTTTAAAAGAATTAGCTCAAAATAAGTATGTAGAAATAAACACATTTATATTCCTTTGAACAAATTCCCAGTCTTAAAGAAATTCCAAGCTTTTTTCAGATTTGGCAGCAATAAGGCAAGAGTTTGAGTGTACAAGTCTTTTTCGCAGCAAGGAGCAAAGACATCCCAAATACCACTTCAGCACACCGGGACAAACTAGCCATATTGCAGTCCTCCGTCTGACAGGAAAATTTGTCAAATCTAGCACTGTATTTCTTTGGGGGTCCCTAAAGAACAACAATAATGAACTGCGGTATTCTACCCATGTGTAAACAGGAAACATAAGCTATGCTCTTCAGCAGAAGACTTTTAGGTGTGGTAGCCAATACATAAAAATATATCCAAGCTACAAGTGCCCCTTAACACCTTTAGAACCATTGTATTAGTACCTTTGATTTAATAAACAGACTATCCAAGGTTATTAAAAACCAGGCTTTGTAAACAATGCATTCAGTTATCAATATTAAGATTGTCTTCACCTTTTAAGATTTTTGAGACCAGTCAACTGTCCTGCAGTTCGGGTTTACCTTAACAGTTCTCATCCACATATGATTACAGTTCTTCAAGGAACATGACACCTCTTTTGACTTTTGCCAAAAGGATGTGGATAAAACTTAGAACAGTCAGTTATGTCTTAAATATCAAGATAAAAACCAGTTCTGAAAACAACACACATCCATGTATATATCTCTACATACATGCTCCATGTATCAATCTGTCCATCAAAGGACGATCTGACTGTTCCTTATGTGAAGGAATTCAAGAATCTGAGATTTTTGCATCCCACATGTAAAAAAGCTTAAGTCTACCTGCTTCTTTCATCTGATTTCTATAGCCAAAATTTCAATCTTTGTTCCCTGTGGTTATACACAGAACTAGCTTTAGGGAGCGCCCTGTGAACCTCTCCCTTTACTGCCTTACTGGATTTCATCCTCAAATGGTATAAGATGCAGTGACACCTCTCCGAGCATGCCCTACACAGAGTTACTTTACATTCCAACTCGGTCTAAGCCAGCTTTTTGGTAATATCCTGCTCCAGACTCAGTGAAGCACCCCTGAAGTCGGTAGCCAGAAGCAGGATGATGCCACTGATACTTCTCATTGTACAGAGAGCAGATTGCCCACTCTGACTCTTCTCGTAACAATTCCAAACCAAGCAATAATCGGAGAGCTATTTTCACCCAGTGTTTTTGCTTTAACTCTACATTCCTCAGGTATGTTAAACAGCATAGTAAGTAGTAGAGAGACTTACTGTTGGGATGAGTGGTTCATCTGGAGCACAGTGATAATTCTGCAGCAAAGCTTGTAGCTGCAGAGAATTCAGTTTAAAGCAAGTACTGTTAATATTTGGAACATCTGCATGTGAATATTTGTCCATGGTAAGCAGCGTGGTTGCCTGGGAGAGGAAAAAAAAGTCATAGGAGACAAATCCAAATCAGAATGAAACCTTAAGCCTTGTTTCTGAGTTTCCTTTAGATGAGATCAGAAAAGACAAAGCAAGAAGCCAGACTTGTTACAGAAGCAACATAAATATCCTCAAAACAACCATTAAATACATCTCCTATACCTACAGGATGAATTAATAGTAAACCTACCATAAATGAGACATATCAATTTTTCAGCACACTTCTTGTCTCTGTTCAGCATAGTTATAGCTCAGACTTATAAACAGAAATTGAACAGCATGTTGGCTAAAATCACTAATTATTAATTTCACTTGTAAATTAAATATTAATGATGTTGAAAACATATTTTGTGTCTTTACATGCTACCTCAACATTCCAGGATTGATTCACACGAACTACACTTGTCCACATGCTATTCTCTAGTAACACAGAACACACAAATACTAGTTTTGAATATACAATCGTGCGAGAAGTGTTGATCAGAAATACACACACTCACCTGCACTATTCTGCTCAGGTGGCAATCAGCAGCCAATTCTAAACCCTGCTTTTCGGCCCAGGCTTCAATATGGCCCAACTGTTGACGAACAATAGCTCCCCAATAATGTGAACATAACCCTGAATCTGGGGCTGTAACTAATCTGTTAAAAAGCCACATGTTGATAAAATGAAACAGCTGGGAGAAGAGCTGTATAGTCAGAGCAGCATTCACTCTACATCGTCGCAAGAGGGACATCGCTCCAGTCAATGTATGCAGCACATCATCTACAGAGAGAAACCAGAAAGTCAATCACATTCACATACTGCAGTGTACAACTGGTTTAGGCCATAAATAATAATACAGAGATGCCCAACCCAGCCTGGTGAATTCTAGATGGAATCTATATGTATTTAAGTTATGCAGACTTTCAGAAATAAATTTACTGCTTCATGTTTTTTAAGATGGAGCCACATTAAACTGATAGCTGAAATATGTTTTTTTAACTCCTAAAGTGAAAATAAATTCTTTTAATGAAATACTTAGTATTACAAGTGTACCATTGGTTATATCTGACACTTAAATCACGTCCTCCCCTGATTAAACTAATTTTTTTCTGTTATTTCAGTAACAAGCTAAAAACAAATGCACATTGCAATCATTCCACAGCTCCTTGAAGTATCAAAAATTGTATTCAAGAATTTCAGCAAAGACTATTTTCCTTGCATGATGTACTTGAACTGCAGAACAGAATCTCCAGAATCTAAAGAACACATTCATTTTTAAAAATATTATTCAAATTTCCTTTTGCACATTAGTTCACTGCAATATTACGTAAAAGCAATAGGGTCTTCCTGTTAACTTCACCAATAGCAAACGTTCTTCTACACTTCCTAGCACAATACATTAATGCAAGCAGAACATTTATCTCCAAGCCTTCTTATAAGGCAATACTTTTATCTGAAATCTTTATTTCTGAAGACCACCTAATTAACTTCAGCATTGAAACACAGGATTATGACTGAAAAAAAATTATCTCTGTAAGACAGAAATCTATAAAGCAGCCCAAAACCAATGGAAATAATGAACATCATCTGCCTTTATTCTGTTGTCAGTTTGCTACTTTTTCAGGGTTCGTGTCCCAGAAAGTTCTCTCTCTCAGAGCACAGGGCACTAAAACCAAAACAGTACGTCTTCATGTTCTTCCTTCTATGTTCAACACAGGAAAAAATGCAATTGCAGCAAGCTTAACATCCAAGAGACCAGGAAGTATATATGAATTTTGTATAAATACTCTTCATAGTTGAACAGAGTGACTGTACTTAACTCCGCAGATCATCTTTACTTCAACTACTCAGAATGTCACTATCGTCTTAACTCTTCCTAACCTTTTATCCCTGATTAATCCCTTCAAACTTGATTATTTTTTATATTTTCCATTTTCTTATTTAGTTATCAGACTAGACAATGTAGGAGGCTCTCGCTTTTCCCATGAAAAGCACAACAGGGGGATCCTATCTCACGGCCCTGCGCATGAATGTGCTCAGCATGGAAAACAACCAGAGGCGTTACAAGTCTGAGCAAAGTCACTGAGCTAGGATTACAGACACAGTGGGATAGCACACACAACCAGAATACTGTGATGGACAGCAAGAGCCCAGGAAGGCTGACGCCACTGCACATCCCTACGGTATTTGAAATATTGTGGCAGGGATCCTTGGCAAGAAGCGAGCTTAACCTTAGTATCTGGGAGGTAGTTTGCCAGATGCTCCCATAGCATTCTCAGAGTGAAACTGCTGAGGCAAGGACTGGATAAGCAGATGATAGATGTAGGTAGGGAACTGGACCACTGGACTTGGTGGATTTGCAGATATGAAGTCCATTTGGCAGTCCGCTCTTAGTGGCTTCCCTCATGGACTGAGGCTGGGACTGACACTGTTTAGTGACTTGATTAATGACCCCACCTGGAGTATTGCGTCCAGCTGTGGAGCCCTCAACATCAGAAGGACATTGACCACTTGGAGCGAGTCCAGAGGAGGGCCACGAAGATGCTCAGAGGGCTGGAGCACCTCTCCTATGACAAAAGGCTGCGAGAACTGGGCTTGTTCAGCCTGGAGAAGAGGAGGCTCCGAGGAGACCTCATTGCAGCTTTCCAGTATCTGAAGGGGCCTACAAGGGTGCTGGGAGAGGACTTTTTACAAGAGCCTGTAGTGATAGGACAAGGGGTAACGGGTACAAATTGAAATCAGGGAGGTTTAGATTAGATATCAGGAAGAAATTCTTCAGAGAGGGTGGTGAGGCACTGGAACAGGTTGCCCAGAGAAGCTGTGGATGCCCCATCCCTGGAAGTGTTCAAGGCCAGGCTGGATGAGGCTTTGAGCAACCTGGTCTAGTGGAAGGTGTCCCTGCCCATGGCAGGGGGGTTGGAACTGGATGGTCTTTAAGGTCCCTTCCAACCCAAACCATTCTGTGATTTTATGATTCTATGACCTGAGTGACTGGATGGAGTGCGTTCTCAGCAAATTCGCCAATGATACCAAACTGTGGGGAAATACTGATGCACTGAAGGGCAGTGGTATTTTGCAGAAAGGCCTCAGTAGGCTGGAAAAATGGGCTGACAGGGCCTTCATGAAGTTCAAAGCCAACTGCCAAGTCCTGTATCAAGGAAGGAGTAAGTCTATGCAACAGTATAAGCTGGGTGCCATGTGGATAGAAAGCAGCTCTGCTGAAAGTGATGTAGAGAGCCTGGCAAACATCAAGCTGAATGCAATTAAGCTGCATATCCTTGCTTGCAAGGTAGCCAGTTGCATACTAAGCTGTTAAGTTAGCAGAAGTGAAGCCAGCAAAAGGGAGGGAAGCAGTCCCTCCTATGCATTCAGCGTTTGTGAGACTGCATCTGGAGCACAGCATCCAGTTTTAGACTCGCAGCACAATTAATGGAGCAAATTCAACAGCGAGACACCAAGATGATTAGGGGGCTGGAGAAAAAGATTTAAAAGAGGGACGGAGAAGTGGATTTGGTTTGTCCTGAGGAAAGAGAAGGCTAAGAGTACAGCTTATTGCTGTCTTCGTCTAACTAATGGGAGCGTTCACAACAAGATCTCGGTCCAAGGTGCACAGTGGTACCACAGAACAACAGACAAACCAACACAAAAAATGCAACAAGGGAAATTCCAATTGGATACAGGAAAAGTATTTTCAGCATGAGGGTGGTCAAACATGGGAATAGGTTACAGAGAGATGATGTGGCATGTCCATCCCTGAGTGGAGATTTAAAACTCAACTGTACAATACTCTGAACAACTTAACTCAGTTGCACTTGCCTTGAGCAACACACTGGATTAAATCACATCCAGAGGTTCCCCTCCACACGAAATTATTCCATGATTTTCAAACCCCATACAGATCATATGAATGTCACTACTGTCCTTTCTTATCATCCATACAAAAATGATCCTAACAATTCTCAGTGGTTAGGGAAACTTGTAAATGTCATATCACTGTTAAGAATTTTTTTTTTAATTACTAATTAATTGTATGGTTTAAAAGACAAAAGAAAAGGTCATGTTGTCTAACCTATTTTAGGCCTCTGAGGATTATTTTCCTCTGGATCATCAAGAAAAAAAAATGCCGGCATGTAGTTATTAAGCTCTGACTGCAGACAATGAACCAGGTACCTGGAAGGAATGGGGGGGAAAAAAACCAAAATGTTTAAATCCTGTATATGTTCATTATGAATGCTTCTAAATAAAAGAGATCTATCAAATTACAAGATTCCTGAAACCAGTGTTATATACGTGACTACAGAGGATCAAATAATACTTTTTAAAAGGCCAGAGACACCAGTTCTCCCATACCTTTCCTATGAATGTTGGAAAAAGAATTAGGTTATCAGGGAAAAAAATCACAGCGGCTTAAATGCAGTATCACTACCACACCTGTAAGCAACATTCATACGCTACATAAAGAGATGCTGTGTGGACAAACTTATGTAAGATTGCAAAAACTATTTTTTTGAAACAGCAATACACTATTCTCTGTCTTAAAATCTACACTAGTAGATTCAAAAAAGTATTAAAAAAAAAATCCTGTTTGAGCCACTACACAAGATCCTGAAACGCCCCCAGTGTTCTGTGTCAACATTTTTTTGATTCTTGTATTTACCTTTATCTACAGTGAAATGAAAAGCCTGTTTTAGTATTCTTTCTCTTCTAATAATTAAACATTTTCTTTAACACTGTTTCTGATAATTGATTTATACATTTTCTGTTAAGAACTGAAACCATCAAATTGTTATGTTACCTATGGCAAAAAGGTATAGCTTCATGAAGAATAAGTTAGAATTACTTTAAAAATTGAAAGATTTTGTCAAAATAGCTACTTGCTGTACCCTATTTTCTGTAATTCACCAACGGGAGGTGGGGGGGTGGGGGAAATACCTGTAGGATTACATACAAAGTGGTTTGGTGCTTCTCTGATACCTTTCAGTGGTTCAGAAAGCAGTGATAATGTTTCACATACCACATTACTCACTGCTCTTTAGTGCAATACAGCTCCCCTTAAAGATAAAGAGTTAAATCATGGTTAGGTCTCCCAATCCCATCACCGTATAAAAAAGAAGAAAGATTATATTCTGTGCTACTACAAAATGAGAAGACTATATTTAGAATATACACAGCCTTCCCCCACTTGTAGGATGTCTAAGTCACCCAAGGCACACTGGGACTTCTCTACACATTGGTTTCAGAGACAAATTTGGTGAGAAAAACCTTATTCAATACTGGCTTGTGAGGAAAAAACAGAAGGTTCTAAATATGTACAAAAATGAAGCCTTTCTTGTTGATTAGCACTGTGCTCACTCCATACTGTTCTCTTTGTTTGAGGATCCTTTCCACAGAGGAATTCTCTTCCCACTGGATACTTCATTCAATTTGTCTTTTAATCAGTATTGTAATTGCCTGACCTGACTTGCATAGGTTTATTTTAGCCCAAGCCGAAACCTATCTTTACGTTTTTAAGAAAAAACTGTGCAAAAAACCCACTGTGCAAACTGCCATTTATGCAAATTATGAAAGGAGTAGATTACAAATATAATTAGAAGCCCTTAAAGAGCACAAGGTTCATTAGAGACCCATAAATATTTAAGCCTATGTATTTATATATGAACAGTAAAAATAACATTTCCTCACATCCTCATAAAAACCTTAATTTAAAAGACAGCAATCAACCCAAACTAAAATTTAAATAGCAGCTAACAGATCAAACTCCTTGCACAGCACAGTGATCCATACTCCTAAAACAAAATACTTGTCTCAGAGAGTAAGTCTAGCCTCTCTTAAGTCCTCCTTGCAGATATTTAACAACACACAAAACATTATTGCTACACAGAAATGTGGCAAAAAATGTTAAGTTATTCTAAAACTCAGAGAAACACAGAATACGTTAGGTGAAACAGAAGTTGGACTGCCTTACTTGAATGCCATTTGAACCAAGTGTGCCAAAACATCTTGTGCGTCCACAGTAATTCGGCTGAGATCTCGGTCCTGCTTTATGAAATTCAGTAATTCAGATGCATTTGCCATCCAAAAGGCAAGTGCCCCAGCAATATTCTTCTGTTTCTGTAAGCAGAAAGAAGCAAGAAATAATAGAGAGAAATAGTTTTCTGATAAAGCATGACAGCTTAAAAAGGCTCCAAAAGATAGACCAGTACCTCTTCCCATTTCACCAAACATATCTCAGATACCAGATATTTGCAAAATGTTTATCTGTAATACTGCAATTGCTGTAACCGTTAAGTTCAGTTTTAAGACGTTCACTGAACATAGGAAATTCTGTTAAATTGCCAATAGTCATACCGATAAAGCCACGGCATAAGCATCTAGTTACGGAATGCTAAGAGCTTAGCGGAATGCAGTATCTGGTAATCTGTGCACTTTTAAGCGCATATTCACTACTGCCCACTGCCACCCTGATACTGCGCTCACTGGCTTGGATACCACGTGACTCAGTATCAAGTACTGATCTATCTCACCATCTCCCGACCACAAATGCCAGGCCAGGCAACCTCAGATGAAATCCAAAGAATAGGAACCACAAACAACAACAACAGAAAATAAAGGGAAGAAAAAGAACTTTGGTCATTTCATATCCACATTGAAGTGCGTTAAGCAGAAATTATGGAATGCCGTAAAAGTTGCCAAGTCAAAAAAGGATTTTAGTACTGCATGTTCCAGTTGCTGAATGAGTGTTATGAACCGTTCAAGTCCAGCTGTTTGAGTATTGTATTTTGATATGGAAGCAGCATGAGAAACTGAGCTAAGCCAACATAGCTAGGATCAGTTCCCAGCAATATATCCTACCTGATCAACCTGGTCTACCTCCTGGAGAAAAACGGACGAAGGAAATCAAACAGAATAGAAGAAAGAAACTTGTAAACAATCATGATAGCTTTAGAAATCAAACACTAAATATGAAGGTACAACACTTATGTTCACAGTTACACACAGATGCATTTATCAGTAGCTAAGATGCAACTGAGCCCTTTTAAAAAAGGAATTATTTTAACAGGACTAGTAGCACAACAGCTAAGAACTGAAGTGCCCAGATGTCACAATTAATTCAAGGAATGCCCTAGACTAGTTGACATCCCAGGCTAGTCGGTTATTCCATGCTCAGTGCACCACAGAAACCCTGCAGGACTTTTTGCAGGCGATGGGATAAGTAGTCATTCAAGTAACAGATCCAGGGAGCTATTTGCCCACACTGCTGCAATGAAGACAATGTGCAAACACACACAAAGGGGGATAGAAAATCTCTACCAGGAAAAAAACAACCCAAACGCAAAACACAACAAAACCAAACACACACACAAACAAAAACCTAAAACAAAACAAAAAAATAAAACATCTAGGACAGATTTAATACATGGCTTCTCAATTAAAGAACAAAAAGACTGTTTTAAACAACAAAAAGAGTCAAATGAAATATCACACTAAGCTGCTTAAATGCTGGTATATAAAACTACAGAGTTCAGTAAACAAACAAAAAAAACCTCCACCAGATATGTTTGTCTGATTAGTTAAAACTGAGTTCTTCATTAATTCCTTTTGGTTTTCTATTCAGACCCCTCTCCCCCACTGGCAACACAGTAAGCTTAGAGGCAAAAACATGACGTTTGCTGTTACTATTATAATCTTAGTTACATCTTAAGGGAAAAAAAAAAAAATCCCAAATTGCTGCAGTGCTTTTGTTTTTTCCCCCCTTTCTGACCAAGGCACTCTGAACAGGCTGAAGACGTGCTGTGTTGAAGATGAAAGGAGATGCTCCTTCTACAAACATTAAGATTTGAAGATGATCAGAAATGCTACAGAGTGATTTGGAAAAAAATAAAATCAGGATACAAGAAAAATGCCTTTTTAATATGAATTAAGTTTTTATTCCTAGATTTTCATGGAAAGCACTTAGTGTTCTCATAGATCTCTCTAATTTTATCCTTATCCCATATGAAGTCTTCTGTAATATCTGTATACGCTAATGCAAAGACTACAGGAAGTCAGAGACTTAAAATCTGTTAGCAAGTACTTCTGAGTAACTCCAGAAAGCTATCAAGTCTCCTTACGATCTAGGCAGGCAAAATTAAGATCTAACTAATTTATTTTACTCCCACAAGAGTTTGTGCACTTTCCCTCTCCATGTGCTTTGGGTGCCTCCCACCTGTCTTCAGTTTTTCACACCCTCAGATCCCTTTCTGTGCAGGCAGGCTTTTATAGTCAAGACATACAAAAGCTACTGTGATAGAGGCTTATTGCATGGTAGTTAACCGTGACAGCAATCAGTATAACCACTCACTCTACAGCTTAGAGGCAGTAATTCGACTTAGCTTCGCTAGTACTGTTTACAGTCCACTAAAACAGGCCCCAGCTAATGACAGTTTCCTGGTCAAGCTCTAGAATCAATGCGTTTCTTTATCTCCAACTCATTAACCTTCAAATTCACTGAAGTTCTACCCTTTCATCACACTTGTACTTTTCCCCCTTTCCTCCAGCTTCTTCAGCATGGCATTTGGAAGAACCTCCTCTCAATTTGCTTCAACCTCCAACTCTTTTCAGTTTATGTTTTGCAACTAGATAACATCTTTCACAAACCACAAATGCAGCTACTGCTTCCTTGCTGACATCTTCATTAAATTTTAGGTTGGAGATTAGACTGCAATGACAGGGTTGCAAGGCTGTCGAAACAGCCTTTCACAAAGAACTGTCCTGACAAACACTTGGTTTTAACAGTTCTGCAATACTTTTTTAGCAGGTTTATATAAACTACACTTGCTTGCAACAACCATAAGGCTGGACTTGATTAGGGAAGCTCTTCTCAGTGCTGTAAATAAATGTTTTCGCAGGATAATCTATTTTTTAGCTTTCATTGGTTTTCAAATCAAATTGACTTGAGCCCACCTCTCTAGTACAGAGAGCAGCTACATGCTTATCCATTTGAGTTCAATACAAAGAATGCAGAACTTTCTTTGCTTTCCCACTCTACCCATCACTATCACCCCAAGTCCTTCTGGGGTCACTGTTACTAGTTTACATTAATTATATAAACTGAGTGACTTTGATTCAGCTCTGTAACTTCAAGATTATATCTGAAGTCTGCCCTTTCCGTGTTTACTTTCCGTTCCCACCACTAAATCGTTTATGTTCAGGTTCTTTGCATTTCATGTTCCCTGCTACTGCCACAGTTTCGCTCATCCACAGCCAGATTTTTTTTTCTTATGTGAAGAACCCAAATATTTAGCTTTTGATATCATTTGTTTTATCCAATATCCATTTACCACGGCATCAAGACTCAAAGCAATGTACTAGTTCTGCACTTCAGATTCAAACCACCTTTCAACCTCTCATCACCTTCAGAGTGTACAGGAAAGGCTAGTCTTTGTTCTCCTACTGTAAAGCGTCTTCAACACCAACACACTCTCCCATTCTTTCTTGTGAAAGGTGGGAGCCTGATGTCACTGTTCACAGACCTGTCTAATTATAACATTCTTTCTACTGAAAACTCCATTAAATCTTTACAAAACCTAAACAAAAGCTGAATGGTGACTTCCATGACACTCTTGTTGTTTACCTTCCTCTTCTCCCTTAATCAGCCTGTTGTGTAACACTTGCATCATAAATTCCCTAAAGCAGGACTGATGCGTTTGCTATGCCTGTACCCTGCCTAGCGCCACAGGGTCCTTGCTCTATCTGGGCTACTATGGCAGTACGTTCTGCAACAAACGTGCATCTTTTAATAAAGGGAGAAATACATTTCTGTTTTTCCTCCAAGAAAAACCTGCAGACAAAGAAGTTACAATAATTAAGTTAGTAAGGATGCCTGACCTACCACTCCTTTTTCAGGGAATGGCTGCTACCTTTTATGAACAGCTGCACAATGCCAGGTATTTTCTAATTTCATAGACGACCCAGTAGGATCTGCATTCCTACACAAAACATCACTCCCCCTGTGCTTCTGTGCAAGCCTTGCACACGTAAGAGCAATAGCATCAGACTACACGTGGGATGCTGGAACATCTGAGAACTTGTATTTCTCTTTATAAGGTAACTGTGTTAGCTCGGTTCAATAGGTCCAGTTTTATTGCCATTTTTTGTGGTTATAGAGGTTGCAAAAGTAACAAGAACAAAATTTAAAACTCCTGTTTCTTTTTAAGATGTTCTCATTCACACAGTGCAAACAACTGCTATCTATACGATATCCTTTAATAAGCACATCCAACTTGTTTGACAAGAGCCCATAGCCAGAAACGCTTGCAAAGATCTTACCTTCTAGAGAAAAGAAGAGTAAAAACTTCTTGTCAGAGAACTTATCTTCAGCCCCTCCCTAACCTCCCACACTGCTCAGGAGAGAGTTTCTTACCACTCACATTATTCACTGACACAAAAGCAAACCTTCACATGGGCAAACAGTGCAGGTATTGTCTGACCCTTAACAACAGTTGGTTAAACGCTAAGGTCACCAGATAATCTACAAGATACTTTTAATTCCCTTGCCTTGTTTCTGCAGAGACACTCACCTGTATAACTCCTTCCATCATGTTCACCATCTTGTTGACTATTGCAATGACTTTGTGAGTACGCTCAGTAGGAGTGATGTCAGGTCTGTACTGGCTTGACAATACATACCGACATGTCATATACAAAACATACGTAGGTGACAGCTTAAAATGAACTGTGGAGCTATTTGTGTAATTTATAATGGCAGACAAGAAGGCATCTTCAGCTGTAGAGAAAGAAGACAAAAACATGTCAAACCTAAAGACAGAAAGAAAGTGAAATAAATCCATTCCATAACTCAGGGCACCACGGATTTCTTTTCGGAGGGGACAGGGGGAGAGGGAAGAAGCTTGAAGGAATCTGAACTCCAAATTGTCTGTTACGTGCTACGGTTACTCAGGCACACTAACCATACACTTCCATATAAAGCTACAAAATCTGATCATCAGGAAACATTTCTGTACTATTTCCTATCTCTGCTGAAAATTTGCTTCTCCAAGGGAACAGGAAAATCCAAGGTTTCTCTTGTCCATTCTATTCCTACAAAGCTCCCTTATTATAGGGAATTTTATACTAATAAAAAACTGTGTTTGATTGCTATTTAGTTTCTGATTTTTTTCCAATCTCTGAGATGACACTTTTCTACTGGACCTGAGACTGTAAAAACCTGGGAACCATGACAACAAATAATTAAATTCTAAATGAAAATTTAAAATTCATCAGCTGTTACATAAAATGGATTTTGACTGTGATGCAATCTATTATCCAAGGCCTGGAGAACTGTACAGAAGAGAACAAATTGAATGTACTGTTGAGGTAGTGGGATTAACAAATTTCTCACAGTTAAATTTGAATATCTGAAGATAAGGAGCTGAATGCAATTAGAATTAGATATGCATAAACCTGCCTCAATACCTGAAGTGTCTGTTCACAATCCCCAACAAAATAATTTACATTACTTGATTAGCTGTCAGCTGTTCAGTCATTATTCTTTTCAACGTTTAAGTTACCCTTAGGTTTTCAGACTGGCTGAAATATTACACCATAGTGTCAACAGGTTAGTGTTATAACTTCACAATTTACTCACAGCTTTCCCTGAATTCAATACTTGCAGGTAGTATCAGTTCTGGTCCATGGGTATCCTGAGGTCTAAAGAAAGAAGACAAAAATTGAAACAAACAATCCACATGGGTGATATTAATTCCAGTGTAAAATGCAGATATCTCCAAATACAGTGGTCCCAAATGCTGACAGAACACCCTTCCCCGAAATGAGCCCTTTTTTTACCTTTCCTCTAGAATCATTCAAGATATATTTGCCCACAACAGAACATATAAAAATACAGACTTCACCTGTGGAGTCTGAAAATTTAAAGGACATCCTCTTTTGCACTGTATGGCAGAGGGATAGGATCAGTTTGCCATCTGCCACTGACAAGATTCAAATAACAAATTATTCATGGACACATGAAAGAAAGAAAGCGAACAAAGCTTCACCTGAAACATCAGCTCAGTTACAAGTAGTGTACTTTACTATCTTTAATATTAGACTTCAAAACCAGCAAGAACTTGGTCAGCTTATTTGTCCTTTCTCCTGGTAAGGAGGAAAAGGAGGTAAAACCTAGTCCCCGCCATCCTCACCTAGCTGTTATTATGCTATGTGAAGAAAGAGCAGTCATTCCAAACGCCCCGGAACTACGTCCTCACTTAAAATGACTGTGCGTTCTTTCTTATGAGTACCTAGCACAGAACTCTGAGGAGAAAAATGAACAGCATTTTTCTGGTGTCTACAAAAGGTTAAGCACATATTTCATTCCTCCCTTAAGAAAAAGCAGCAATTGAGCTGTTCTCTAGAGTTAGACACCTATTTATAGGAAATATGTAAAAGCTTATCATCATCTCCATGCAATAGCCATTTTTAATCACCAACACAATAGTGGCTTTCTACTTTCCCCAGCAACTTTGATAAAGAAAGGAATGTAACAGGATTATGTAAGCCTCATTCTCCTGAGAAATGTGAGTTACGCCACAAAGCAGAGCTAGGACGCCAAAGGCTTTTATTCAGCTATGTCCTGTAGTGAAAGTCCACAAGATAACTCTGAAGGCTGACGTCAAAAGATGTAATAAATTTTAGCATATTCAATCAAAAAACTACGGGTACCTTTGGCTTTTGGTGGTTTTTGTTTGTTTGTTTTTCAAACTTGTAAAAACTTAAAGCAACAGAGAACTCAGTTATTCCATCTAGCTAATGCTTTATTATATAAAAAAAAAAAAAGCCCAGCAAATTTCTGAGGAGCTGAAAGTTAAGGAACAGCAGGCACAGCAGGACAACATGAGCACGAATTTCTGCAATTGCAGTTATATTTCTAACGTGACAGCATGCTCTCTTTCTGAAGAGCACTCAGCTGGCATATAAACTGTAGCATTTCCTCTGGTTTTATTGATAGAAATTTAAGATGAACTGATTTCTCACTACCTCCACACTCTCATAAGTGCATCGTCTTTACTAAAAACTTAATTCTGTAGAAGAATAACTAATACTCACACAGTATTATCAAAATAAAACTGAAGTGACAACTCCAGAGAAATTTGTAATTTATCATTATAGGAATAGTAGTAAATGTTTCAACAAACTGGCTGGTAAACTAGTGACAGATTTATTTCCTTTTCTTTAGATCAAAAAGACAGTGATCCCTTTCAGCACAAAGGAAGGAGCAGGATTCTCCGTCTTCCATCCAATGGGAGAGAAAACAGAACGAGAGGTGAGAACTGATATGTGTTAGTGCAAGATGGCTTATCAAATTTTGGAATTTGGCTTTAAATAAACTAACAAAGTAGGAAGAAGAAATACTTCTTTAAAAAATGTTTAGTTTTACCAATAAATTAGTTCTCTACGAACAAATGCAGTAAGTCAGTTATTTTGGCTACCTTAATACGAGTTACCTTCAACTAATGTACCATTTTCTGCCTTTCCTACACACACACAACAAATACTCTCTGATTAAGCTTTGCAAATTAGAAATTTAAGTTAAAATAACTCTCTCTGTGCTTCTGATGTTAGCAGCTAGCCAACCTGCTATGTTACCGCATACATTTTAAGTATATATTGTCTTTGGGCTATTGCTTTATAGAAAAACACTCTCTGGGGTGGTGAAATTCTCTTGAGCTAAACCACTCCGAAAGTCTAGACAGGGTATGCCTAGCAAGGCTGTAAAATACTGACTAGAGCGTTGCCTCCTCTCTAAATATAATGTCAGGTAATATTACACTTTAAAATTGCATTGAAACACAGTAATACATTCTCCAGAGATTTCCATAGTCTCTTAGATTAACTGTCTATGATGAACTGCATACAAAGATTTGATCTATCCTTGTGTGGTTGTGGCCAGCATACTAGCTATATAAGTTTTGTAAGGCAGGTTAAAATTAGGAATCACGTTAACTGTCCACGTTCCATTAACACCTCATATCCAACCAAACATGTTTTTATGAACTCCTGAAGGGTATCCAAGGCAAAAAAAAAAAGATATTTTTTTCTTTTTTATTATATGCTTGCTCATGTGAATTGAAGTCTGTTATCTATTAAGGACGTACAACCATAATCCTTAACTTATTTCGCAGAATTGCATTTCAAGCAGAAGAACCATACACACTAAGTAAATCGGGAGTTATGCTTGCAGATTTTCCCCCCCCCCCCTAGAGACTAGAAATTAAAAAAAATGAGGCCATCAGGTTCTTATCTGTGATCTTCAACCCACTCAGGGAGTGATTGGAATAACGTCCTATTTGCCTTACAATTCACCTTTGAACAACAGTGACGAACACACAAAAAATATAACGAGAGCACTTAGTACAGAGAGAAACCAGTTGTACAGTAACAAGAACCTGGAACTGCTCAGTGAAGTGGGTTTTGTTTGGTAGTGGTGGGTTTTTTTGGATTGTTTGGTTTTTTTTTTTCCCCCAACTAACACAGCAGTCACTTCACTTCATGATTACTGTCCTTAGAGTTCACAAAAGGAGACCAGAGTATCCCAGAGGAAGCCTAACTAAGATTCATAAAATACAGCCACAAAAGGGAAAAATTCAGTTTACTTTAGCAGCTCCTTGCATGGCAACTCCTATTTGATATTCTGACTTTGCTAATTTGATGCTCTCTAAGTGAATATAACTGAGAAAGAACACTTCTATCACATGCTCTATTTAGATAAATAACTCTTAATGTAATTACACAACACACACTATACACGTAAGATATATACAGAAAGAAAATATCAGTGTCAACACTGGTGATGAAGATCTTTATGGTTGTAGCTATCACAAATCTAAGTGTAACCTGGATGCCTCAAAACATTTTCTGCACACAGGTACCAAGCCAAAAATATCATGTGCATTGTAACAGTAAGACTAGTATGTGTATTCTCTTGGAAGGAATTTTGAAAGTTAAAAAAAAAAAACAAAACCCAAACAAAGCCAAGATGCAGGTCACAGACAGCTCTGTGTTTTCAAAATATAAACTATAGCACAAGATAATCTTCTTTATAACAAATGCTCTTGCTGAAAGACAGAAATACATAAATTTAATAATCTTCATACACATACAAATGCACAGGTAGAACTCAAATGTTAACAATAGAAGCCTCAAGAACTTATGACAGGCTATAAAAAGCTCACAAAAAGTTTTTTTGTCTTTCATGAGAGAGGAAGAACACAGTTAAAACGTTAGTAATTCAACAAGGAGGAGGTAAATCTTCAGCAACCCTAATAAAAACAGTTCTGAAAAAAGACACTCAAGATGCCCAGGCACTCTGACATGAGAGTGCAGAGTAGAAACAAGTTGTATTCTACTGTAAATTCACTGAAAGCATTTAAAAAATGTCCCTGCTACAGAACACTAGAACATGAGGAATTCAATTCCAGCAGCAGTACAATTTTCTGCCTTTTTTTTTTTCTTTCTTTCTTCTGCCACTCACATCTCTGAACTGTTTTCTGCCTAGTGAACGATAAATGCACTTAAAGGTAGTAGAAGCTTTATAACTTGAATCACTGCACTTTTTAACCCTGCAGCACATTTACCTTATCTTTCATCCATTTATCATGGCAGTTCACCTAAATTTAAAAGCTGATTTATGTAGACAGCAATAGAATTTTGGTTTTTTTGTTAAGAACTTAACCACTTACTTGTCCTCTGTGTGCCTTGAAACAGCTTCTACAAGGACTTAGCCTACAATTCTCCCAGGGCCTGAATTCATGCCGACTGGTCTATATTTCCTGATTTTTAACTTTGTCTTTTCTACGGATAGGTGTATTATTTTCCCTTTTCTAGTCATTTAGTACCTCTGATATACATGACCTTTCAAAGATGGGAGAGTGGCTTTGCAATGATGTCAGCCAACTCCCAGCATCTTTTGATGGATCCCATCAGGTCTTCCCTATTTATGATGGAAAACAGAAAATTTTTGAAGCAATGCTAATATTACAAGACACTGTGTAACAAGGAGTTGAGTCCTTTTGGACAAGGTACTGTGAATACATGAAGACTGAACAGCAAGAAAATGGCATGCGATCTGAAGTCAGTGTTTTCCACTACGGCTTTGGAACGTGAACACGGTGGGAATGAAAAGCATCACTCTGTCAGGCTTGCCAACAACACTGCTACAGAAATGGGGATGACCTGGTACTTCCCTCTCCAGATGCAATCACATCATCTTGCCGCTGACAAAATAAAATTTCAAATAACTGTACTTTCTTATTAAAGGTATTTCATATGACACACCTTACCATAAGTCAACAACGTTGTGACATGACTATCAGCTTGGCTTTACAAAAAGAGAACTACAAATAACAGAATATTGAAGCAAAGGAATAATTGTGGGCATTTTTAATAATCTGAATTTTTCTTTTTTCTTTGGTTGTTAATCCTGGGGTTTATACGGAGTAAGATCTCAAAGAAAATCTCATTTTCCCTAGGGAAAATCAGGTAGTTTAAAATATTTTAACACATTGCTTGATCTATCAGAAAAATGCATCCATTTTTCCCCCCGTTATGAGAAGTAATGGGCTACCCATTTCCTACCTGCTTTCCTGTCTGCGGTAATCCTGCTGCTGTTCTATCCTAATCATCGGCTTCACCATTCCTCGTTCGGCTGTGCTGGATGCTGATGATGTCCTGTCACCATCAAGCCTGCTGGTGCTCTAATTTAAAACAGCAGGACAGGTGCTTAGCATGCAAACATGGGCTTAACCAGCATTTGTGCCTGGCACTATTAAAATGAAGTATCAACCAGGCTTGAAAAGAGATGGGAAAACAGAAGAGTACAGCACAGACTCCAGCAGCTCAGCAGGTGTTGTCACCACAAAGAGGCATCGAAGAGCAGACTTGCAATTCAAGAGACAACAATGGCCAGCTAGGAGCAGCTTTTTGTTAACACCTTGCAAACACATACAATGAAAATGTCAAACGTCTTTATTTAAAATTTGCATAGTTCTCAATACAATAGTAAGAATGAATTGTTAATGAAACCTTTAGCTAAGGGACAAAGTTAAACATATTAACAGATGTGAAATTGCCTATGCCCCCCTACCCTGCTTCTGCACTAGCTCCAAGTGTTTGCATTATTGATCCCTGCCATAATTTATTCTGTTCTTAGGGAAGTCTGAGCTGCTAGACAGGACATAATTTTCCAAGGCAAGAAGAGGCAACAGGAACTATGCTGGTTTTTATGTATGATTTTGTTTGTTTTCTTTCAGTGTCACAAGCTCCTTAATAGAAGTTTTTCATTCATGACTTCCAATTACGTCAAACCCTATCAGGAAAGGGAAAAACACGCTGCTTTAAGCAGCAAAATATGTAGCAATTATTTTTCAGTACAAACTGTTGAAAACAAAACATCAGTAAAATATGAATTGTTTCCACATTTCCTAAGAAATTTCTAGGACTAAATGATTTGCTTCCTCACAAAAAAAAAAAATCTACCAAAAAGTGCCATCTCAAAACGAGAGTTTGAACAAAACAGTTTTTTCAGTACTGACATGACACTCCGTGAATTACTTTTTGTCACCAGGTCTCTGAGAACTTTCTCTGAAGTTACTGCTACCCCTTTCCAAACAGAAAAGCAAACTCGTAAGAGCAACTGTTAGAAAACAAGTGATTTACCACTGATTTAATAAGATGTAATGTTTGAGATGCGCATGAGAACTCAAAAAAAGAAAATTCCCAAACTTCCCTAGGTCCACCAGAAATATATATCTAGAGAGTCTGAAAAGAATGAGGTACATTAGACAATAATGTCAGAAACTCGAATTCTGAGCAATTTTGAGGCATTTTAATAGTTGACAAAGTTTTTGTTTTCCTTCCCCTTCCAAAATGTCACTAGATCAATTCCCATCAGAGGTAAGGAATGTATCAAAAGTAAAAGAAAGCATTGTCAAACAGAGCTACAAAGGACAGACAAAAACTGAATCACAAGCCTGTGACCAAAAAAAAAAAAAAAAAAAATTGAAGAATAACAAATACATTCAAACACTATCAGAGTATTATCAGCACCTACACTGCCACACCAATATCACTAAATTTCTTTACAAGCATTTCAATTTTATAATGGTAGGAATAAAACATAAAAGGAAATGCATTTCTGGTAGGACTGTTACATTTCATACAGCTGAAATAATTCATTCTCTCATTTCATCTGAGGCATGTGATCATAGCACTAAGAAAGACATTAACCATTGTGTCATTTTACTGTATTTGTTTGCTCTTAGAAAATGGAAGTCTGGCACAGAATGTATTAACAAAGACAGTGCAGAAAGAAAGCAAGAAAATATTATTACCTCATAAAATGTTTATAACTGACTGCAGAGACAGTTTGTTTAGTCAGTGCGTGTACAGAGCTCTACTGAAGTCAAAAGTCACATCTATTAAATTTTTAAAGCCTAGTTAAGTTATAATTGAACACCCTTTCACATTTTATACAAAACATTTCTTTGCCTTACTGCAGATGACAGTAGTCACGTGCTACACACACGAGATAACGATGTACCATTTCTAATATGAGTATCTATTCTGCCACGTGTGTTCTGCCTTCAGTAGATCAGTTTGGGGAGAAACTATCCCAGGTTAGAGGAGTTTCTCTTTCTAAAACAAGTTGCTATTCTTGGCACAGAATGCATGACAAATACTAAGACAAACTTAAACACAACAGTTTTGGGGAAGGGAGGGAGGGAGGGAAGCGCGTACGATACCCAAGCCCATCCCTAAAGGGAAATGGCTGGGAGGAATGGCTGGGAGGAACTTGCTGCACTTTACCAAATACTACTGGCGTTATGATCTTGACCTAACTTACACATGAACTTTAATTATTTATTCCTAATTTAGTCATAATATAATACCTTGCTTGCTGGTAATGCTGTACCACTGTGAACGTCTCCCTCCAGATCAAACGTGGTTTCCTGAACAGCTCTAAAAGCAAGGTAATAATTTAAGTACTTTTTAGAAATTGTATTATCAAACATTCAACAAACAAGGAACACAGTAGCTAAAATTAGTAAATTAAAATTCAAAACATATACCATGAGTCTAGTTAATATTCACTTTTTAAAATACTATAACAATTCTTTATATAAACCCACTACCGATATTTATACAGATAATTTCTCTGAAAAAAACATTCTTAATTAGATTTTTTCCCCCCAGTCAAGTGAAAAAATATAAATACACATAAACATAAATAATATAAAACCACAAAACCATGCTCAAGGTTATTGTATTCACTGTAGATTTGCTACAATTTCTTCCTCAGCTCCTCAGTGGTAAATGTGCAACGATCTTGATAATGCAAATAATTCATACATCACAACCATTTATTTTGCTATCTGCTTATTCTAACGACATTTTAAAAAATTGATTGTTCAAGCTGCAATAGCTCTTTACCAGAGATCTTGTTGTCCAGACAAAACCCTGCAGTGGTACAGTGCTCTGCAGTTGACTATGTAAACCTGTGAGAGCATTTGTTTGTTGATCTGCAGGCTAGATGCAGAATGAACAAGATTTAAGCAGAAATATTACATGGCAGATAAATGCCTGGAGGCCTTCCTGCAGACAGGACCTACAACAGGCACCCAGTGTACTTCCACATTAAAATTAAGTGGAGAAAAAAAATAATAATGGTCAGATGTATACATCCATATCAACTCAGCAGATTAGCCAGAAGAACCTCTCTTCCTAGTATCTTTCTGTCATTCATCTCCAAGTCAATTTGTTTGCTTTCTAAACCACAATATACTACAAAAGCACTCTCATTTGGACCCACAGAAGATAAAAGATATGGTGTGGTTTATTCCCTGCTCTACACTCTGATTTTAAGATTGTTTCTCCTGAATATTTCAACAGCCACTGAACAGAGTACCTGAGCCCCTACATGTCACCAAATCCATAATCAGTTTATTTATTACGGATGCATCAAAAATATGAACATATACAGAAACAACCAGATGGACTTCTGGACTGTTAGTCTTGCAACAGAGAAACTAGAACATAAGTAACCACACTGTAAAAAATGGTTGCTGAGACATTTAGTTCCTTATCTTGACAGTCTCATTTTGTGACTACCCTACTTAATTTCCAAATCCTTGTAATGAAACTTTAAAAGTTACTATCTGAGGCAAAAAAACCCAAAAACCACAAACCAGGGGCTCCTTATACATTCCACTAATTCTTTAATTTTCCAGGAGATTGGATGAACTTCAAAATACATTAAAATAAGGCGTTCCACTGGTTTTAACACAGAAGCCAGCTTCAGGAAAACTTGTCTGAATACTTCATAATGAAAAAGACACTTGCTAATTCCCAAAAAAATCACAAGGTGGAGCTCAAGTACTAAAATAGTTGTTATATATTTAACACTTAAAAGCAGCCACTCAGAACTCACTTAAAGTCATAATCTAATCATAAGACATTTATAATGCTCTCATTCTCCATTTTTCCCCAAGGATCACCCCTTCACCTCAGTGGGAAGAAAATATATTATTGTTGTACTCACCCAGTTTTGTGTCTTGGACCTTTGACCATAAGACTTGAATCAATGGGTCTTTTAGGAATAATATGGTCCTGAGTGGGATCCACAAACTTAAATACATGAGATGACCCAAACTGAACCTTCATTCCGCTCTGCAGCATAGTGGTTTCTGAAATACGCTGACCTTCCACGTAGGTTTCAGCATCAATGCTTCTCGGGGTTACAGTAACAACTCCATCCATATTAGTGAGGTCACAGTGATGAGGCTGAATTCCTGGACCAAATAACTGGAAACAGAATTAATTAATATGGAATAAAGTAAATTGTGCTGCAGCAGAAATTAAAGCAAAAAGATTGAGCTGCTGCTTGCCCTACTTACAGACTAGTAACAACTTTGCTTGCTTGTGAATTTAACTGAGATAAGTGGTACTAAATCTGTTCAGTTTCACTTCAAGTTCCTTGCAACCTAAGTAGTAAAGCACACATTTAACTAAAACGTGCAGCAGAAACCCCTCAATGACAAGTTTTAAACTTTTTTAGTCACATGTTGCTCAGAACCATTTTCTTCCACGTGCTGTTTTGATGTAAAATCTAATAATGCAAGCATTTACAAGTCAACTAACTGCACTGATGTGGACCCAGGGTGCTAAAAGAGACTCCCTGGAATGAACTTCAGATGACTATGCTTGTTTTATACATTTAAGAAATTCTATCTCACCCAAGGAGGCTGAGACTAGGACTTGAAAGCCAACAGGCAGTTACAATAACACTGATATGTACCATTTGACCCAGTGACAAAGAAGAATACTGCCTTTTAAATAATGAAACCCTTACCTTCCTCTTAAAGCAGGATCACAGTTACAACCATTAACATGAAATTGCAGCAGTATTTTACCCTTACAGCTTTGAAGGGTATTGACAGAATGTGTTACTGGTTTCCACAATTACACATAACTGACCAGAGATTGGATCAGTTCTGTCATCTGAGCATGCTTTTTTCCATACCTGAATGGAATTGTCATCAAATTTTTCAGTTCCAACTTCAGTGACACTTAATTGTAGACGATAGAGCTTTGGCTTATCTCTGGAGTCAGAACCATCTGTAGAGAAAGTGACAAATATTAATTTGCAAGTTATTCCAGCTCAAATACTCATACAGTATTTCTACATTACCGCAATTTAGTTCACAGTAACAATGTTCACAAAAAAAAAAAAGCTGAGTGACATTCTTTCAAGACTTCTTGGGAATTTGGTTGTTCACCACAGTGTAAAAACACTGAAAGTAGATAAAGCCCGCTCAACCAAATGGCCATTTTCTGCAAATGCAAAGAATTAAGTAATCAAGAACTATTATTCTGAACATACTTTGAAAAACTTTATTTCCTTAGTAGTTTAAGCAACACAATTCTTGTTAATCCGTAAGATTTTATGTATACCACTATGGGTTGAAGAGATTTAGAAAGTAAGACACCTGCAGCTCTCTTTACTAAAAGTATCTATTGATCTTACTAGAAGTACAGATTATCAGCAATGTCTACTTGTCAGGTGGCCAACATGCCAAATCCTTTCCTATTCATTGAATAGTGAAATGGGGCAATATTAAAAGAGAATCTTACAAAATGTTTATCTATGACAGCTGTAGTCTTGATATACAGGACTGTAGCACTTCTGGCCTTATCTTTGTAGTCCCACTGACCTGTATTTTCATCCCACACAAAATAAGGCCAAAGATAAAGTTTATTTTCTTCCTCCCCCCAGAAGAACATATTGTACAAATGGAATAAAATTTCCCAAGTTACAATGGATGCAGCACAGGATTTAGCTGCTGCCTTCATGGATGGTTTTCTCATATGTAGAAATCCTCCGTTTCCCAGAAAATACTACAGCTTCACATACTATCAGATAGTAAACTAATACTGTCACTTCTGACTTGTCTTGAATTTCTCCTCCAAGGGGAGGATGCAAAAGAGGGAGGCTGCAAGACAAAGAATGTATTACCTGTGGACATGAACAAGGATTTCAAGTCATCCTCAAAAAGCATCAGAGAATATTATTAAAGCCATGGCCTATACAGTGATACTGTCTTCAGTAGGATACTAGTCATCTTCAGATTTTAAATGAAAGTCAATATAAACAGAACCTCCATAAATCTAATATTAAACTCCCAGCATTACTACCAGGATCTGTTTGTTAAAATCAGAACGCAAGCCGATTTACCATAAAAGTTTCACTTTGTCTAGGAATACCTCTATCAGTCCTTCAATGAACAGTATTTAAAAGAATTAAAAATCAACAGCACAGAGAAAACTTAACTGTTAAGAAGCATACACTGACCAAAAGCGGAAGATACAAATAAAGTAAGGCAACAATACAGAAGAACAGAAAACACCGAGTTAATGGAGAGGAGAAGAACCTGGGTTATCAATGAAGAATGATACCAACAGAGTTTTACATGATTCTGAGGTGGGGAAAAGTATAATGGGTACTCCTAGTAGTAAGCTCTTAGTGGGAGTGTTGTAATGTTGTGATGTTATTGGGACATAAAGGTGTCAGGCAGAGACAGTCGACAGACTAGTACTATATGATACTATAGTAATATCTAGTTATTGAACGTATTTTGAATCACTATCATAACAGCAGTACATCAGAGCACTCAGTCCTCTGAACATTTTTCAGGGACAGGGATAAGCCTTTTATTAAATCCCAATAATTGAATCTATAGAGACATACATCTAATATCACTGTACACTAAAAAAGGTAATGCTAATACACTATCTTCAGTAATTTAAATTGTGTGCAAATTTGAATATTTAATAACGGTCATCAGGAATTACATGGCTCCGTCCTCAGTGTCATCAAATGCAAACATGTAATACGCTACTGAATACATCTGGCTGCTTACCCCCAGCTCTCTGACTTTTTATTACGTCTCCCTACAACCTACACATCAACACATAGAATAGGGCTCCTTAATTTATTTATTTATGAATCCAAAAGTCAAACATTTCCTCCTCGTTTCCACATCCCAGTTCGGTAAAACTGGGAGGTGGAAGATACAACATTCAATTTGCAGGCAAGGTCCCTTCATTCAACATGCAAAAATACTGGAATCTCAAAAGTCAATGGCATAAAAGTCAGGGGTAGTTATCTAAGGCTTTTGTTCTTAATTTTTATGGCACCTTCTCCTAAGCCCTTCTTACATACATTAGAGAATAGGCATTACAGTCTAGTGATTTCACCCCTATACTAAATATACACCCCTGCCCCATACTTTTTTCATTTTTGATATCTTAAAAAGAAATAAAAACTTCAAAATATGCCTGCATATTTCTGAATAATTACTTAAAATACATCATAAAATATTATGTTCTTCAAGTGTTTCTTGAAGACAATGTCTGGTCATTCCTGAGTTCAGCACTTGTGAATAATCTATAAATACCAAGTTACTGCTAATAAACATTCACCTTACACCACCGTATATCCTTCATGTAGATGCATGTCACGTAAAAATGTGTCTTCACATAAAAAAATCATATTTTAGTATCACAGTGTTTCTGCTGAGGCATATTAAGACTGTTTGGTTTCTCTGAAGTGTCCAACGCAAGAAGAAGAAACTTACTTTAAAACCACAGCACTAGATACAAACACCTTTTTTTCTTCCCAGGAAAAGGAGAAAAATTCAAGGAGTTACTGAATATTATTTGGAGCACACACGTAATCATCCATCAGGGAAAGCCAACTTCTACAGTAAGAGGTATCTTCTCTTGAAGAGAATTACTACCAATTCTAAAAGGGATGAAAGCCTTTTTCTTTTAGGGAAGGGATGCAGGAGGGGAGGAAGGTTGCATTATACTACAATGTAAAGTCTTGTATTTCCTGTTTTTGAACAGCTGGAAGCTCATCTAAATGCTGTTTGGAATGCATTCCTCCTAACTCACTAAGGCAGGATACAGGCTCTGCCATACCCATGGCAAAGTCCCTGCTCCCCAAACGGTAACAGTCCAAGAGGCTGTTCTTAGCCTCTAAGGACTAAACTTTGAAGACTTCTGATGGTTCACGAAGGCAGATGATCTAAGTCACACGGCTTAAGGTCCAGAATTTGTGCTGGAAAAAAAGGGAGTAATATATCTGGGGTTTTGATCTGACACAATAATAATTCTCTTTTAATTCAGAAACTTGAAAGGTCAAAGTTCTCAGAAAAACGGGCATTAATTAGCAATATGGAAGAGGGAGCAAGAGGCTCCTTCTATACAAACAGATTTCATGACTGGATTTTCTGCAGTTTCGAGTCAACATTTACACTTCAAATACCAGTGTTACAAAACAAAACTGTGGTGAACAGAAGCGAGCAGGCACTGTAAGCACATCAACTCGGTGATTCACAACACAAATGTACGTTTTTGGTGTACAGAAAAAAAATATGACAGGCCTCCGTTCATGGATATCTCTCTTAAGTGCATTACTTCACCACTAAAAGAGCTGAACCCTACATCCCTTTGGAGATGATAATTTTAAATTGATTTCACTAAACTAGTGCTTAAGACAAGACTGGGAAACAGTATTAACTTAAAACTAGACTAAACCAAATGATGAAGATCAGATCATAGAAAACAAATAAGCCCAAAGCTGAAAAAAAAATTCATGCAAGAGACGCACCTCCTGACTTAAAAACTACTTAAATCCACATTTGAAGAGCAGCAGATTTCCTGCAAAAGTTCCTGAGTTCTATGAGTTTAGACAGTACAAAGTTTAAAAGTTTGGTCTGCCAGATTTAGACTATCATGTCGAATTCAGGAGATAATGTCTGCTATTAAATTTGAGACAAGATGTACACTTTCAGTAGAAGGAGCCAACAGTAAACATTTTTGGTAAATGAAGAGTCAGTGAGGAATGTGAAAGACAACAAATCTTCTTCAAACTAATGTGTAAAAATGTTACCACATGCCATACTGCAGTTCTGTTCTCAGAAAGAAGGCTGGCTGGGCAAACTGCCCTGCCCTGGCCAAGGCTTGCAAGTTTCTCCATTCTCCTGTAATTCTTCTTTCTGAGTCATTATACCTACATGTTCTCAGCACCTCCCACCACTGTCAGTCCTACAGTTCAGGGCTGCTTTTTTGTGATGAGGCAGGGAGAAAAACCTTTAGGGTGGTGGTGGGGTGTTTGGTGGTGGTTTTTTGTTTGTTTGTTTTTTAATTAAACTCTGTATTATTTTTATCAAAGGCTTTCAGGATAAATCTCAGAGGCTCACATTGCCAAAAAAAAAAAAAAAAAGCAGCTTTGTGATTTTCTCAGCCTTTAAGTAGTATGATTGAACAACCAAAGTTAGTAACATCCCTGAACTCATCAGCACCCATATTCACAGATAACCTGGACAGTATGAACTATTCGAAGGGCTGCTGTTCTTACCAGACTCATCTCTGTTTATTGGCTCATTTACATGACTTGGAAGACAGAGACAATTGCTGACTGACACACTGACAGCCACAGTTTACTGAAGTGTATCCTACACCATACTGTGCAGAGGCTGATCTTCAGTCCGTAAAAGTCATAGAGCCAGCAACATCAGCAGCTGTGGAGAAGTTGGAAAACAGGACATGCTTCCAGCAGCCAACTTACTGAATTTGTGCAATTGAAATAGCACATGAAACTGAAGTCTACCAGGTCCTTCTGCAAGAACATAAACAGCCAATTTTTTGACAGAAGTACATTTCTACAGGAGTTATTTCTATAATAAATACAAGTATCCTGAAATACCATGTTCCAAAGACACAGACTGGACTCTGGAGTACTAAAACCTCTTTTTTCACACTCTGAGATTAAGATTCAAGACATTCTATGTTGGTTTTTCTTCTTCCAGTGAGATGCAATGAGATTTCAAGCTTTCTACTGAACAGTCAAATGTTCCTCCAGAGCCTGCCTATGCTTATTAAATCAGCACACTCTGTGGAACTCCTCTGCTCTCTGGAATAATGATGTTAATGAAATTGAAGTCTGAATTCATCAGAGTTGAGCACTGGAGGCATAAGTTTGAAAAGGGTTTTTTAAAACCCAGTACTGTACCCCACAGCCATGAAATGGTGAGCAACACTGACAGACCTATAGTACTTTTACAGTGGTCTAGAAAATAAAATGAGGAAACAGATGCTAAAAATCTAGGAAAAGGTGTTTTGGTAGACATTTCACCACAAAGAAGAGAGTGGGTTTGCATTCTTGTCTATTTGGCAAAACCGGAACATACTTGCACATTAGTATAAACTCACAGGAGAATCAAAGATCCATAATGATTTGTACGTCAGGGTATCAATTTCAAATGCTACAGATAAAACTGAACATGAATCTACTGTCTAATGTGGTTAATCTCTTTGATGTATGATGTTAATGTCAGACAACACCAAAACCAGGCAGTAGAAATACCAAAGGATGATAGGGAACACCACAGAGCAGAAAGTGAGGTCACTTTACCAGTGGCCCAAACACTATTTCACATAAAAATCATCATGTATTTATTTAATCCACTGCCTCAACATGGTCAAACACTGAAAAGCACAGTTAAGTTCCATGCCATTTACCCAACCCGTTTTTTAACTATGAATTCTGCAAGCAGATGGATCCAAGAATGTTTTTCTTTCTACGACAACGCTGCTCATTAACCTTAGCTGGAAGGTTGAACTCTTTGGATAGCAGCACATTCATGATCTATTTGATGTTTGTTCACAGATAATTAAATGGCAGATGACAAGACAGATAACTACTTCACAGAAGTAGTCCCTTGGAAAAAAAGTAAGATAAGCAAGATAGCCTTCCATTTGTCAAAAAGAAACACAAGTTTACAGCCAGCCATATTTTTAGTGACTAATGAGAGAACGGTATTAAATATAGCGTTACCTTCGTAAGCGTGATAGTTGTAGTAGGCAAAGTGATTCCTTCTCCCTGGGGTTAGAAACACATGCAGAGGACCCAGGTGAAGGCAGCACCAGCAGGACAGATACCATGCAGAACATGCGGAAGAGGGCAGGAAAAGAAAAGACAGGAAAGGGTGAAACTGTACCCTGACAACACTTACTCAGTTTAGAAGAAGGAAGTGCATTAAACTCTTTCAACTTTAGAAACTGCATAGAACATAAAGACATCAGTACTACAAAGCTACTGAATGAAACAATCCTTATTGTTTAGAAAAGCGACAACAAGCTGTTAGAAGAAAACCATGAACAATAGGTCAGTCCCACAGGCAACGGGAAGGCTTCGTACACAGAGCGTTGCCACCTGTGGCATTCCAGATGGTTTTTCCTCTCTAGTTAATGGATGTCTTGCTCCACTGCCCAAGAACAACGGGCAACAATCCTAAAGCAACTAGGCTCCACTAAGAGTAACAGTTTAGAGCACAACAAGAAAATCGAAAGTGTTGTTAAAAGAACCCAAAATACACAAATCAAACCTCATCACATAGAACACAATACACTTAGTATATTCTGTGTATTGCTAATTTGACTGGTTAAAAAAAATCCACCACCAAAAAAACTACCCTGAAAAAACACACTATTTGACTATGAATGTAACCTGTTTGCAGTTCTGATCACAGTTTTCAGCACCAATTTCCAACCATGACTCCCAGAAGGTAAACAACCAGACTTCAAATTGTATAGCATTTGTTTGGATACCCAAGCCTACCCAAGTCATAGTTATTAGAAAAAGAGCTGCAAACAACTAAATCACCAAAAATAAAAGCCCATACCCAAATCTTTGAACATGAAGACAACAGAAATTAACACCAGAAGTGGTATGTGTTTTATCAGTTGTTTTGTTATAAACAAGCAAGCTCCCCTGGCTGTTACAGATCATAAAATTAACTGTTAAATTACAATGCAGCCCAGAGAGTTGTAATGATCCTAAACATAAAACACAGCTTTGCTAGTGATTTGAAAGTTCCATATAGGCTGAAAAAATGTTTAGCAAATTATGTTTGATTTAAAGATTCATGTTCTTGTCTTTCTAAAAATGTATATGAAGAATACAACACTGTAGAATATATCTTATTAGGTATGCTACAGTCTACCACTTTACTTCTGAATGTAAACCAAACCAGATTTAAGCAGTGCTCTTCTGGTGGGTATGTCCCCAGCATCAAAATAAGTATTTACTAATAAATATAGACTTATTTTTTTAGTAAGTCATTTATTATCAAGTTTTAAACCCCAAAATACAAAGGAAGTCGAAGACAATAATTTTTTTGTTTCTGAAACACTTAAAATGTCATACCTGAAACCAATCATTTCTCCCTTTATCACTCCAGACATTGCTACTAAAATTTCGGTATTGTAACAGTATGCAGCTCTACCCCTAGAGAGCTTCAATTCAGAACGTGACATGAGAAGAACTGATGTGGCATTCACTTACACTGCCAACAGATTTTCTTGTGCTTCCAATGACAGTCTTATTTTTGGAAAATCTAAATGACTATGTAATAATGTAATTTAGCTTATTAGATAACCAGAAATTCTTACCTGGGCTTAATTCTACCAGGTATGGTAGTTTCTCAGGAGGAAGGCAAGAGCCATAGCCAGACCCGTCAACTCTTTCCTTCCCCTTTAATGGCTTTCCATCAGTTATTTTCTTGGATTTCTTTGGGATATAATCAGGCGGCCGCCTTTTCAACTGAAAGACTAGTATTCCTGAAAAAAAATATTATATATACATCCTCTGAGTTTCTATATTGGTGAACAAGCACATATCTAGCATCTGTTGATTTTTAAGTATTCCACAGGATTTCCTTCAGCTTAGTAAGTTCCCAGCACTTTTTGCAGTTAAGTTAAAACTTTAAAATATTAATAGCATGCTTCTCCACAGTGGATAATTCAGAAGCTTTAGGATATAATGTAAAACCCTTCTGCTGTCTGAAGATGTCTTGCTGTAAACCGTGATGACTGAAATAGTTAATAACTCCAAAAGCACCTAGTATTAAAAGTACCTGAAAACAAAACACTTTAAAGTATATGTCCCACTTTCTTACTTTACAGGAGGTCCACACCATGGCTGACAACACCCAAGGCACAAAAATCTCTTAAAGCTTTTTAGACATACCTTTATCACTAGGCCACTCCCTGAATATTTGCAGTGGACACTCATCATCATCAAGAATAGTTTCTTTAGCACCTTTATCATCAGAGTGCTGAGCACCAGGAGGCAGCATGACCTAGAAAAGAACCATTATCAGTTTTCAAAGATGTTAGTGGACAATTAGAACAGAGGATTCAGGAGTATATCTTCTAAATTTTATGTTGTTGTTGTTTGTAACAAGACATAAATTTAAAAAAATCCTCTAATTCTAAATGTATTTCGCTTTCCAAGGCTTTTCTCTCTTGCCTTGTGTTACAGTTAAATCACACTTCCCAGAACACCAGACGTATTGAAAAAGCAAAGCAAGTTACACTTAAAGATAGACAAGGTCATCTTCCAGGAAACAAAATCACTGCAATTAATACAGCCAAGGGGCACCACACCAAAAAAAACAAACTGTGGAGCTGATAGTTACAAAATAAAACTGAAGTTTCCTTTATTATCTCACACACTGGAATAAACCTTTCATTCTGGTGATGCCATTCAGCTAACACAACATGCCAGTTTATTCAGAAATGGCAAGACAAGCTGCCAAAAGAGAACGTTGTGACACCTCTTGCATCCTTGTCTTACCCAACCTTGACCTGGTCTATGCAGAGACTAAGGGCACGACTGGAGCGTGTCACACAATTGCTTCATGCTGTCTAGCTTTAAGGAAGAACCAAAATTAAGTAGACTTTGGGAACAGAACAGCCGAGTGTTCATGCCTTTTACAGCTACATCCTTAACAAGGCAGAAGAAAGGGAAAATTGATTCGTGAGTTCTGACTCTAAAGGAGACAGTCTATGATTTCAGGAGCATTTGAATTACTACTCCCCAAAGGGATCAAGCATAAAACCCAGTGACAGTATTACAGTGCGTGAGTACCCAAGTTAAAGACAGATCTTTCAAAGCTGAATAAAAAAAATAAAATACATTTTACTCCCTCATTTGTGATCCTAAGAATGTTATTTAGATTCATAGACAGCTCTGTTTTAAATAAACTATTCAAAATTTTTCTAATCTCTAAACTATGACCCAGGTAATACTTTCTGAAGCAATGCAGCTATTGGCTCCTGCACCCCACTATGCTCTGCAACCCTCAAGAAGCTTTCCACTCATTTGCTGTCTCCTCTCCACACCCATTTCACTGTTAACCAAGTTCTCACAGACCCACCTCAAATGTCCTTTCATCTTCTTCCAAGCAGGAAACAAGTACATTTAAGATCAGAAGTATGTAATTGAGTCACTGGCCTTTCCCCAAAACATTTTCTATGCAAAACCTGGCTAAACATAGGACTAATTAAATTACCTTTGTAATTAGATTTTCAAATAGACAAGATATTGTAAATCGAGGAAAACATTAAAATGTATAAACCTAAGGAAACAGAAACACATCTACAACCAAATCTTATCTTGCCAAACCACTCTTTTCTATTTCACATCTCAGATTTTAAAATCAATTATATCTCCAGGATAACTTTGATTAGCTAATTAAAGTAACACTTCAGGCTTGCTTCAAGCCTTATTCAACAAGCAACAATTTTTAAATTCCAAAGCCCTTGAGACAGAAGGGAACTCGTTACAAGAACTGCACACTACGTACATCATGTGTACCAAGGGCTGACCAATACTGAAGTGGGAAGCAAACCAAAGAAACCCCAAATGCATTGAAGTTAGAGCACAGAGGAGATATAAATACACAGATGGTACTACTTGACCCTGACATTACTTCTGCCCTGGGGCCTGGATGAGCATCTGTATTTGGCACTGGGCTTAACGTCAGGAATGGTAAAACTAGACAAGTTAGAGAAGTGGGGTCACAAAAGCACTAATCTCCTTGTTCCCCCAGCCAGTTACCATTCCCCCCATCTCCCAGGAAGCGTAAGGCGGTAACCCAGTCATACCTCACTTTAAAAAAGCGTGTGACCTAACCTGCGGAAAGATGCAAAACACCACATCTAAGGTGATGCAGGACAGCAGGCTTCTAACTGGGATGGACCCGTTTTAGAACACATCTCTGTTTTAGGCAAATGCTGCCTCAGTGTCACCCACAAAGCTGAAATCCCTACATTTTAGAGTAATGGAAAAACATTGGAAGAAGTTTATATTATGATTGGGTTTTGGCTCATGGATATTGATTCACTTTCATTTTGAAAAACAGAAGATGCAGTTAAATATCCTTTCACGAATTTGAAACCACGCAGACTGCTGAGATCAGGCACAGACATTTCCCTGATTTCTACAACAGTGTAGGAAATGGAGATGGGTAAAACCAGCTTAAGATCACAACTCTTGGAAGCAGGCTGTCAGCTGACAACCTATGAACTGAAACATATTCTTAACAGATAATTAGGAGGAATACACTCTGCCTTCTCATAATTACATTCATGAGCATATACCAATTATCATAAAGTCATTCCAATTTATATTTATTCATTTAAAATGCAGTGAAACATGCAGAAAATACAAGCCAAGATATTTAAATGAAGTCCATAGCAATTTAGGACTTGATCTGTAGCTATTACTCACCACAGAGGGCTCAAGTATTTGAGTATTACCTTCTCTTGTTTATCCCAGCAAATGCTTTGGAAGTTATCGGATCTATCCTTAGCGGAAGTTTCACACAAAACCCTCCATGCTACAATAGGCTTTCAATAGCCTCCTCTGTAATTTCAATGTTTTGGATTGTTTGTGGTGGTGTTGGTTTTTTTTTTGTTTGTTTGTTTGGTTTTTTTTAAATAAAAACCTCATATCTACTCTATGTTTTAATATATTTGCTTATTCAAATGAATTAATCCTCAATTTTCCTTACAAGTTGTGAACACACAGGCTCTGCACATGCCCCTAAAACAAAATACCAAAACCAAACCAAAAACCCCACAGCAACGGAACTTGCTAAAAAATATTTTAACGTCTATTTCTTAAAAAAAACCCAAAACAAACCAAACAAGAAAAACCCTACAAAAAACCATGACCAAAAGCAAACTAATCACCATGAACTGCATGTTTTTTTGCTTGACATTATGAAACTGATTTATGCTTTATCTTTGAGTATAAACTAAGTGCATGCAAAACCAAAAGTCTAATCAAGATCCTACTTTCAAGAGTTAACTGGTTTGCTGCAGGCCTCAAAGTTACGCCCTAAGAGAATATGCACAGGTAGCTCGGAACACTGTCTAATTAATTTGACATCTTGAGAGATGTGCAGTGAACCCCACATTATTCAGGGAAACACAAACGAAGCAAACTGAAACAAACAAAACATATATTGGGTCCAACTTGTTTTTTACTTGATTACATAGAAAAGCACTTTAGAAGTGGGCAGAAAGGTGCAGCCTGATACACTGCAAATCAGGGTACGAAAGCAAATGCAACTAACAGCAAACTCCATTTGCAATTAAAGTTGTCAGTGATAAGTGTTAAAAAAAATTCTTACAATGTTCATATTTCAAATGAAACTTCAGTATTGATTGAACTTTATGACAGGTACTCACGCAGCCTTATAGAGGTCTTAAATACAACTTAAAATCCATCTTAATAGTTAAGTAAACGTCAACCGCTTAAATTGTCTTTGAAGACACTTCACCCGTCGCCCAAAGAGAACCAAATCATTTAAAAATCACGCCCAACAACATGTTATGTTCCACTGTACGCTGCTTTAAACCCAGCAAAAAGTAAAGGATAGGAGGAACATGAGCAACAAGGATTTGTCTTCCACAGAACACTGTAAATTGTTGGAAGAACAGGGCAAAAGCCCCAGCGGGGGTAAAGAACAGCTATGAGACTTGAGCATGAAGGAGCACCAATGGCCACGACACGCATTTGCCACTGTATTTGTGACTTTCCAAAAAAGAAGACTGATGAAAGACACATCAAGCTGAAGCTTGGATACTGTAGTGTTCAAAGCGTGGAAAGCAACTTATTAAAATTTAGGTTAAAAGTACTCAACTTCTGTAAAAAAGGAAAGCCCAAGTCCTATCAGCAGAGGCCCTGAGAAAAGGTAAGTAGATTTCAGCCAGCTATGATGACTTATGGTGAGAAAAACAGTAAGGTCTTCTACACTTAAAGGTATAAAAAGAAATCTGCTCTTAGCCAACGCTGACCACTCCCATATTTCAGATGTGAACATAAGGATACAACTTACATCAGTACAGAAACTTACTGTATCAAGATGTGTTGCTCAGAACAGACAAAAATATTTTTCAAAAGTGCTTTCCAGAAAACTGATTTAAATCAATTTGCTTCACAGCAAAGACTTTTGTTAATCTCTCCCAAGATCAAAGCAACATTCCTCAGACTATTTTCTACATTAAACATCCCCACACAAGATCAGAGAACAAAGGGAGGGGAGACAGAACACCACCACCACCATGACAGTGAATTGCAATAGCTTCCCAGGGAAGTCTGCAATCAGTATAATAAATTCCCTAAAACATAAATACTTCATAATGTATCATACTAACCTCTAACTCTGAACTAAACAGACTGATGCAAAACTAATCTTCCACGTTCAGTCTCAATGTCTCTGCTGCAGCACACAATTCTCTCAAACCAGCGGAAAAATGAGCGTGTCAAGTCAGCAGCATATTTAGTAAGATCAGTGACTGAGTCATGAATTTTATTTATAGCACCCGCAATATGAAGGTAATTGTCGTAATTAAAACTACACATAAAAAATACTTTACAGCCAAAAACGGAGAATCAGATTTTTAATATGCTGTCCCATAAAAACCCAAACCTATTACTTACAAAATTATTCCCCTCTTTAATAAAAACCTATGTAAAATTTTACTGAAGCAAAATTAACTTTCACAGTTGGAACCCCAGTTAATGAAGACAAGATTCATTAATGGGACCCTTGTTAATGAAGACAAGAATAAAACATCCAGTACTTCATTAAAAATACGTCTAGAACTAAGACAAAACCGTTGAAACTAAAAAAGCTAAGTTTAGTTCACTGTTACAAAACTACAGAAGCACTACCACCACACGGTTTCCTTACTACTAATCAGAACAACATTAGAGCAACATGTCAACTCCCAGCTAATTATACCACTAGAGGCTGTAAGCACAGCAACAGCAGACACTAAGGTTACACAAAGATACCACAACAAATAAATCAGAAAGTAATTTTAAGACCAAAGATACAGCCACATCCTTTAGAGCAGCTAGAAATTGTGGAGAAGAGCAAATAATAAAAGCTTCCTTACTGTTTCCCAGTGGCACTTTAAGCACTGGAGAAGGGGCAAGGAAAGAGAACACAACATGATGAGCCACACACATTTTTCCCTTTCATCGTTTTAAGAAGCGATAAATCCATGCTTAATAGCAATGTATTCAAACATTGGAGTCAAACAAGGATCAAGTGCTTTCAAGTCTCACAGTTCTACCTCAGAAGATGATACAGACCAAAATCTGTAACCTTTACAAAAATTTTAACCTTTACTTTAACCTTCACAAACATTTTAACCTTTACTCACAGTACTGCCCATGGGATCTTTTGATAAAGCCATACCTCTAAGAAACAGCAATTCTATACAATTCATTTAGAACACCTAAAACAATTAAATTCTGATAATAAGCTTAAACTTCACTTAAATGTTTAATCTTTTCTGATATGTGAAGAGGATAACTGCTGAAAGGCGTACAGCAACAGCATTTAACATACACCTTTTTGAACTGAGTCTGGACTCAGCACTCCTCCTTCCGAGCAGAAGGTTTTAGTTCATGGAAATAGTTTTGTGCACGAACAGCACAAATTCAGGTATCCACAGGATTAGCAATCAGTTTATACATCTGCAAATCTTAAGCATACTCAGTGGCACAAAACCACAGCGCCAAATACAGAAATATGTTACTTCCATTATTAATGTTTATCTATGTAGCAAGTAATAATTTACCAAGATTGGAAGATACAGGTTTTGAAAATAAAAACAACTGACAAATGCCTTCAGAACTCCTGAGGCTGTTCAACTTAAAAAAGGTTGGCACATATCTACCACAGTCTTTCCATTTAGTTCTAAAGCTACTACAAGGAACAAAATCAACTACAAAGCATGAGAAGATTGTGACTTAGCCATTCCACTTACACGAGCTATACAATAATCCTTGGGATTTTCCTTCTCCAGACCATATTTTTCCAGGGCTTCAATAACTGCAAAGTCCGCAGTATCCGTAGTGGACAGCAGGATTGTCTTGTACGGTATATTTGGTTTTAAACTGTCTGCATAAATTCTCAGTGTCCCACCTTAGAAACAAAGTTGAATTAACAATATTACCAGAAAATTAAAAAAAAAAAACAAAACACAAACCACCAACCCACCCACCCAACCAAAAAAACCCCACAAGATATGCAGTAATTTACTATATATCTAACAGAATGTAAGAACAAACCCCTTCAGCAACCATTTAGTCAAACCACTAATACAAGAAAAGTTACCTAACACCTCTGAAATAAACTTGTCTCCAACACTGGTAAAAACCTTCCAGTGATGCTTATTTAATTTCTCCAAGCAACTCTTCCCCAGTGCTTCACCATTCTTACCTGAAGGTAAACTGAAACAGTGGTGACTGGATGAAGATCTGACCTCTCTCATCGTGACAGCAAGTTTGTGCTGGCCTGCAAGAACCTGACCCTCTTTCTAAAAGCCCATTTAAGATGTCCCTCACAGGTAAAGTTTTCTACACCTAACTCCTCCTTTGCTACTCTTCCATGGACGGAATACATCATTTGAGGTTTTATCAGTGCTAACATTGCTTCATGCATTCAACGCTGATGTTTACACAACCATTGTGACCTTCATCCCCACCTCCAAGAATGTGAAATACCTGATCACCGACACTCACAAGATCTACCATAGCCCTTTGGGCAGACCTGAGCAATCATTCCTTCACGTCTTCGATCTACGCTGCCGACTGCATTTTTACGTTCAGGTCATTCAGCCTGTTCTTAGTAAAATAAATAACATTTATATCAGAAGACACCCTCACAATGTCTGTTAATTCTGTCCTTCCTTCCTTCCTGGATTTGCACCATTAGCAAGATCAGTGAGCATGTTCTCCCCCATCAGTGTGCCCATCCCTGAAAGTTTTGACTTGCACTAGTCACTGAAAACACTCCTGTGGAATATTACCTCTACAGATCCTTCATTCAGTGACACTACAAAATAAACCAGCCGTGTAGTACAAAAAATGTTGGAGAAAGCAGAAGTTAAGTCAATTTTACAGGAGTTGCTGGCCTTTAAAATACTCTCTCAGTAAACAGTTTACAACCAGAAGAAATCTAAGTACCTGAGTCAGGTCTGCCATCGGAACTGCGAAATTCCTGCATTCTCTTCTCCAGTTTTTGCTGTCGCCGCCGTTTCATAACCACCTCGGGATTGGATATTGTGCGAGTGAAGCTGGTCTCAGGCATATCTTTGTAAACCTCAGCTGCAAGGCGAGAATTCTCACTGCCAAGTTAGTTTAAATAAAAAGAAAAATTTGTTATTAAAAGCTTAAAATTCACATTTTATGAGTTGATGAATATATATAAGAAGGCACGTAGAATCCATATGCACAGGAGATCAATTAAGTTATGTTTTCTACATGTACTTCACATTTGCTAGGATTAACACTGTTCAGGTACCCATGCCCATCTGAAATAGACAACAACCAACTAAAGTGTTAATGGTTGTTAGTTTTCAAAGGAAAAAAAAAAAAAAAAAAAGAAGCCTTTTACCTCTTAGGGAAAGGGAAAAAAAAGGCATTAAAAAAAGTTTACATTACACCCCTAACTTTATTCTGATTTACAAATACTGCAATTCATGTAAAAGCAGAGTTACTATGTGCTTGCAGTTCACGATTTTTCTTTTTGCTAAAGCACTTAAATACAACATTATTTTAATTTTTAAAATTAAGATCAATCTAAAGTAACAACACAGAACACTGGAAAGATTATGCTGACATCTAAAGAACACTGCAAACATACCCATGCAGAGCAGTACTACACATACGAAAGACAATCCTGCACTAAAAAAAAAGTTTAAAAAAATCTTAATAAAGCAGCTAAATCCTCTATTATATGTGAAGAAGTCAACTAATTTCTTTCATTTCTGAGGGTCTGTTAGGAATTAATAAGCTTTCATAATTTATTTACTTTCTGGGTATGTTAAAAATACATCCTTTTTTTTTTTCTGGTGTATTACATATGAAACCTACGGAATCTGGTAAAGACACAAAGTTTAATTTAATGTAGACTGTTCTCAGCTTTCTGGTTCTACATACAGTTTTTCATGCCTGACTCTTGTGCTCCAGTTTTCAAGGATTAATGTTATGTCCTGCCCTGTCTCAATGACTAAGATACGGAAGATTCAGGAGCGAGAGCTGAAAAACCTAGAAGACTGGCCAGCTAAATACACCTGAAAAAACCATTCATAAGTCCGGTGGTAAGTCAAATATAAAACACCTACACACATTCATTTTTCTGGCAAAAGACAGAGCAACCAAACATAGGGAGAGGAATCAACCCATTCCAGAGTAAATACTCCAAACCAAACATAGTGGGGAAAGTCCATGTCACCAAGCATATGTGTCAATTCCCGCAGAAGGATAAAGAGCTGGGGAAAAAAAGCTTATTTCAGGGTTTATAAACAAACCTTTTGTCAAAACATACATACAAACCACAGAAATTGCCATCACATGCTTTGGTTTATGATGCTACTGCACCCACGCCAACTACTTAACTTTTCAAAGAAACACAAACTTATTTGTTAGACAGAGGTACCCTTTAAAGTAAGAGGTAGGTTACATGAACTGATCAAAGTTTAGCACACTTACATATCATCCCCGTGAAGAAGTCTATCATCTTTTTCTGATGCTTGACGCAACGCCTCTTTTTCACGCCTCTTCTTTTCTTTTTTTTCTTTTTTTGAAAGAGTGCGTTTGAAATTCTGAATTACTCCTTCCTTTTCTTGTTTTTCAGGGCCATTACTCTGAGCTTTCTGAAATAAATGAGTTTAAAACAACTTCCATAATTTTTAGTCCAGTAAAAAGTTAGTATTGGTTTTAATTTTCCAGGCAAAACTGGTAAGACACAGTATCACTAACACAAAGCAGTACTCCAGGCAGCAATACTGCATTACACAGGGATGGGACTAATACTGTCCAGGATAACATAGAAGACAGAAATAATTTCATATTCCAAAGCAGGTATGAACTGATGAAGCACCCTGTACTCAAGAAAGCAAAGAAACAGCAGAATTTTACTTGAATTATGCCTACTATCTACTTGGCCTCAAAGATTAACTGAAGGCTGCAAAACAGATTCCTGCCTCCCAGGAAAAATATTTTGCAAAACAACACTGCAGGTAAACTGTTTTCAAGACACCTGTGTTGGAGCATCAGGTAAGAATAAACTGCAGAAGGAAAAACATTATAGAGGACATTTCCCCTATGGTGTATCTTTTCTGAGCTGTCCTTCCAGTGTTCTCCAATTCCTGCTTCTTGCATACACGTTACCTGTAATCCTAAACTCATTTGTCTTCTGTACAGAAAAGAGAAGATGAGAGAAAGTAGATACAAGGGTTTTTGCTTCTATCAGGAAGTGAAGAACACATAGAAGGAAGATTGAAGATTACTTAATTCAATGAACAGCCATAGCAAGTCTGGTAGATGTAGTGCAAATCACAATTAGGAAGGACATTGACCTGTTGGAGCAAGTCCAGAGGAGGCCACGAAGATGCTCAGAGGGCTGGAGCACCTCTGCTATGGGGACAGGCTGAGAGAGTTGGGCTTGTTCAGCCTGGAGAAGAGAAGGCTGCGGGGAGACATTATAGCACCTTCCAGTACCTGAAGGGGGATTGTAAGAAAGGCAGGGACAGACTTTTTAGCAGGGCCTCTTGTGGTAGGACAAGGGGTAATCATTTTAAACTAAAAGAGGGCAGATTTAGACTAGATATAAGTAAGAAACTCTTCATGGTGAGGGTGATGAAACACTGGAACAGGTTGCCCAGAGAAGTGGTAGACACATTCAAGGACAGGTTGGACAAAGCTCAGAGCAACCTGATCTAGGCGAGGACGCCCCTGCTCACCGCAAAGGCGTTAGACTAGATGGCCTTAAAGGTCCCTTCCAACACACACTATTCTTTGATGCTAGAATTAATTTTTTCTCCCCACCTCTAACATGGATGTATCTTGTAGTCAAAAGCATAGTGTAAGAATAGCTCATATACCTGTACTCAAAGCATCTTTTAAAACTAACAAGCTCTAATTCCAAGAGCAACAGGAATTTAGTTCTCAGCCCAAGATAACAAATTGGTCTGAAGATGGCCCATACTGAACAGCATTTTTTCCGTTTCTATAAGGACCCAAGTCCTTCCTTAAGGACCCAACTTCTATAACGATATGACTTGAGGAACAAAAGTCTGATCTCATTTAATGTTTAAATTACTAATTTTTTTTTTTTTTTTAAAGCTTTTGTATGGCTGATGTTTGCATGTGCCTAACTTCGCATTTGGAAGGAAAAAACAAAATCCTGCTCAGAAGGTAACAGCCTCCCATCAGTTTTATTAGAAACAGAAGGTTACCAAGGGAGATAATTTTAAGTTATTTAACTCCCTCTGGCATCCCCTTTTAAGGGCTCTGCAAGAGGTAAGATTACCCCCTAGGTGTTTGGCATCATATATTGTTTGAGGCAATTTTTAATTCATCATATTAGAACAAAGCAAGGTTTAAGTTCTCTGGGCATTACAGGCTCCAGTACCAGACAGTTACATGGATCAAAGCATCACAAGCCATCTGAAAGATCACAAAAACGCTATGTTGCAAAGATGCGTTATAAGTATTTAAAAAGACTTGCTCTAGACATCAAAAGTCAGCAGCAGCAGTTGTTTTCAGAAATTAGAAGAGTACAAATTTTGGTTTGCTACATAAGCGAGCCCCACACATTTCGAAACTGCTGCTACCACTAGCACAACCCTTCTTAAAGGCTCACCTTTGGAGGAAGCGTATCATTTTCATTCTTGAGAACAAATCTTCCCTCTCGATCATCTTTGTTCCAGTTTAATTGTACAACAAGAGGCTTCTCATCTACATCTAATCTTCTTTCTTCTTCAAAAAATGAAAACAGTAACAGTTACTTAGCACTTCAATAGCAAAGATACTTAGAAACAAGTTATGCTCTTGAAAAAACCAAAAACTTTGCTAAACAGTACACACCAGTTGATGTTTCCCTGTTAAGTACAGGACAGAAAACCTGGGGAGGTAGAAATATATGTCCCCTTTACAACAACTAGACTAAGTGTTTTCCCTCTGTATCTACATAAGCTAAAGGCCTACGTAAAGTAATCTTGCATAACTCCCATATTAGACTGAAGTCTAGGAACACAAGATTATCAGTAAGGAAGAGAAGTGGTATCTACATTTAAAATGCTTGAAACTTTACAATTTCCTGAGACTTTCACATATTCATCTTCCTTATTTTAAATGTAACCAGTCTGACTGTGGTCCAAGAACTATTATTCTGTACAGAGTGCACCAAAAATACCAGATTATAGATTTAAAAAGAAAAAATCTATTAAGCTCATATAATAGACAAGTTATGTGTATATGCATAACAACAATGATGTCTTTGCCGTTACATTTTATTTAAAGAAAAACATTCATATTGAATGAGGTGCCTTTATCAGCCATGTTTTAAACTTCAGGAACATGCTCAGCAAAAGAAACCATTTCATTCTGACTGCAGGTATTGTGCTAATGGATTTTTTTATCATAAAATCACAGACTGGTTTAGGTTGGAAGGGACCTTAAAGATCATCTAGTTCCAACCCCCCTGCCATGGGCAGGGACACCTTCCACTAGACCAGGTTGCTCAAAGCCTCATCCAGCCTGGCCTTGAACACTTCCAGGGGTGGGGCATCCACAGCTTCTCTGGGCAACCTGTTCCAGTGCCTCACCACCCTCTCTGTGAACAAATTCTTCCTGGTATCTAATCTAAACCTCCCCACTTTCAATTTAAACCCATTACCCCTTGTCCTGTTGCTACAGGCCCTTGTAAAAAGTCCCCCCCAGCTTCCTTGTAGGCCCCTTCAGGTACTGGAAGGTGCTATAAGGTCTCCCCACAGCCTCCTCTTCTCCAGGCTGAACAAGCCCAACTCTCTCAGCGTGTCCCCATAGGAGAGGTGCTCCAGCCCTCTGAACATCTTCGTGGCCTCCTCTGGCCTTGTTCCAACTGGTCTATATCCTTCTGATGTTGAGGGCTCCACAGCTGGACGCAGCACTCCAGGTGGGGTCTCACAAGAGCAGAGTACAGGGGCAGAATCCCCTCCCTCGACCTGATGGCCACAGTTCTCCTGATACAGCCTAGGACATGGTTGGCTTTCTGGGCTGCCAGCACACACTGCCAGCAGATGTCCAGCTTTTCATCTACCAGTATCCCCAAGTCCTTCTCCTTAGGGCTTCTCCCAATCCATTCTCTGTCTAGCCTGTACTTGTGCTTGGGATTGCCCTGACCCAGGTGCAGGACCTTGCACTCGGCCTTGTTGAACTCCATGAGGTTGGCAGTGGCACAACTCAGCCTGTCCAGGTCCCTCTGGATGGCATCCCTTCCCTCCAGTGTGTTGACTGCACCGCACAGTTTGGTGTCATTGACAAACTTGTTGGGGGTGCACTCAATGCCATCATCCATGTAACGGATGACGATGTTAAACAGCACCAGTCCCAGTACTGACCCCTGAGGAACGCCGCTTGTCACTGGTCTCCACTCAGACATCGAGCCATTGACCACAACTCTGACTATGACCATCCAGCCAGTTCTTTATCCACTGAGTGGTCCATCCGTCAAATGTATGCCTCTCCAATTCAGAGACAAGGATGTCATATGGGATAGAGTCAAAGGCTTTGCACAAGACCAGGTAAATGATATCAGTTGACCTGTCCTCTCTCCACGAGGGTTGTGACCTCATTGTAGAAGGCCACCACATTCATCACACATGATCTGGCCTTGGTGAAGCCATGTTGGTTGTCACCAATCACCTCCTTAGTTTCCATGTGCCTTAGCATAGCTTCCAGGAGGATCTGCACCATGATCTTGCCAGGCACAGAGGTGAGACTGACTGGCCTTTAGTTCCTGGATGGTCTCAGGAACCTTCAGGTTCCTTAGATGGTCTCAAGCCTGATCGTCTCCAACAGTGGGTGGTTCTTCACTTTCCCAGTCCCCACCTTTGCCTTCTGTGACTTGGGCAGTGCAGCATGAACACTTGCCAGTGAAGACTGAGGCAAAAAAGTCATTGACTACCTCAGCTTTCTCCCTATCTCAAGTAACCAAGTCTCCTGTTTCCTTCTAGAGACAGCCCACGTTCTCCCTAGTTTTCCTTTTAGCACCGATTTACCAATAAAAGCTTTTCCTGTTTCCCTGGATGTCCCTGGCCAGGTTTAATTTTATTACAGCTTTAAGCTTTCCTAACCTGATCCCTGGCTGTTCAGACAATTTCTCTGTATTTCTGCCAGGTCACCTGTCCTTGCTTCCACACCCTGTAGGCTTCCTTTTTGTACCTGAGTTTGTCCACGAACTCCATACAGTTCGCCGAGCATATTTGCCTGACTATTTTTGGGATGCATCGCTCCTCAGCTTGGAGAAGGTGATCCTTGAATATTAACTAGCTTTCTTGGGGCTCTCTTCATCCCAGGGCTTCATCCCATGGAGATGAAGGGGATCTTCCAAGCAGATCCCTGAAGAGGCCAAAGCCTGCTCTTGTGTAGCCCAGGGTTGTCAGTTTGCCTTGCTCCCTCCTCACTGTGCTAAGGATTTCAAACTCCCATCATTTTATATTTGCTGCAGCCCAGGCCTCCCTTGAGCATCACATTCCCCACCAGCGCACCTCCTTGTTGGTAAGAACAAGGTCCAGCATGGCACCCCTCCTCATCGTCTCCTCTATTACTTGGGTAAGAAATTTACCAACACATTCTGGGAATCTCCTGGCTTCCTTGTGCCCTGCCCTGTTGTCCCTCCAACAGATATCGGGGTGGTTGAAGTCTCTCATGAGGACCAGGGCTTGTGAACATGAGGCTGCTACTATCTGTCTACAAAAAGCCTCACCAGTTTTAAAAAAAACTAAAGCAGAAAAGCACATACTATTCATTGCTTAAATTAGTGATGACACATGCCCTTTTCTCTAATCCGTTATATTCACATCAAGTCATCATTTGTAGACCATAAGAAATGACACACATCCCAATAAATTTCCATTCTCTATCTCAAATTCAATTATTTTCAGTCTTTTGAAAGCAGAACTTAAGGTAGTTAAACCACTTGTGTAAGCTTCTAAAGTACAAAATAGAAAAAGCACAACAAAAAGCAAGTGTCTCCACCACCACCACATACACTGCTACCTTCCAACAACAAAGCTTTCTGCTGGGGTGGGGAGACACAAAAATCTAGTAGCATCAAAAGGCTATTCAGATATCCAGGTTCTTCACAGGTAACACAAAAGGATCTGTATCTGTCTAGGAAATACAGTGCCTTCAGACAGCAACTATGTTAAAACTCCCCCAGTTTAGCAGTAAATGAACATTCATTATAAAGCTACCTATCAGAGAACAACCAAGGGCGTACTCTTAAGTGCTCCAATTGAACACTATTCTTCCATTACAAGTTTAGTCTTTACCTACTAGTACTAAAAATAGCAACTCTCTTAAAAATGTCAACAAATTAACAGGATGTCGAGTATAGCATGTAATGGATCATAATCAAAACTCACGTAAACTGCAGGCCTGATATGCATATTTACATATTGAAATACCATTTCCCCCATGTAACAATCAGTAGCAATGTTCTTAGGAACAAAAAAACCACAAGGTTTGTGGGACTTAGGAAGAAAAGAAACCAAAGTTAAAAAACCTAAAGATATTTTGGTTGGGGGTGGAAAGGAAGGTGGTGTGGATTCAGGAAAGAATTTCTGAGTACATACTAACCTCCGCTGACATGCACCTCATAAAGTGAGTATTTAGGGGATGACAACATTCGCATGTCTGGACGAAACTTCTCTGCAAGAGTTTCTATCACATCTTGAGTTGTGGCAGTACTAGAGACACGGATACATTTTGTTGCAAAATTTCCAGCTGCTTTGTCTTGAAAGTAGAATCTCATTACTCCATGAAACTCCAGATCCTGTAAAGAAATAAAAATACAAACTTAACTGCTGGATAACAGTTATAACGTTCAGAGTTCTTCTATCATTTATTAATTACAAATATATTATGAAAATATAAGACATTCAAGTATCGCACTAGTTTTCAAAATTTTGAGGACAGCGGAATTTACTAACTAGGACACCACAGACCTGAAAAAACAAGGATGTTCTAAAAAAAGAAATTAAGTACTCTATGATACTGTAAATATTTTAAACCTGAATGTTCAAGTATTGAAATTTACAGCTATTGTTAAGTTTACCTGAAGGAGAATTAATAAAAGCTTTTTTTTTTTAATCCAGAAATGCATCACGAGACTAATCTCAGTGTATTTTGTTGCCTGCAGCAGGCCCCTGTGTCCCACATCTGTAAGCACACAGGCTAAGTATGCAAGGAACAGCAATATCTCAAAGAGAACAGCTCTCCATCACAACAGCCCTAAGCATCATCTTTTGAATCCTGATCTCCCTCTTTATGTTGTCCCCCCACTCTTACGTTGGCATCTCTTATGCTGTGGCTGTCAGAAACGGCCTGCTGAGGAAGAAAAACCATTTGATTACTTGGTTTTATATTTTCAGAAAGGTCAGTCGTTGGTACAGCTCCCTAAATACTCTGGGAGACAAGAAAAGCTCCAGTAGCAACACATGTTGAAAGGGAGAGAAAAAAGGGACTACAACTGTTAATCTGTGGCTACACCACAGCTTCAACATCCATCTGTTCCAACTACTGCAAATCCACATCCTCAAACATTTTCTTTAACCATCAGAGTCCTGTCCTCCACTGCAGCCTGCCAAACTGCTGGAGGACACTGGTTGCTCACAAAACTCCATTGCTAGTCTGAACACTGACTCCAAGTTCAAATTTTAGTTTCCAGAGGTCTCCACCTCGCTGACTCTCGCCCCTTCCATAAATCCCAGCACTCAGGAAGCCCTGCACGTAGGGAGAATCAAGAAGATTCAAGTACCTAGTTAACATTGCCAAGCTTACTCTACAGTTTAATAATTGCTCCTATCCTCACTTTCCAGAGGCTTTGAAAGAGATACATCCTCAGGTGTCAGGTGTAGTGGTAGATTTCACAGTAAGCACAGCCCTTTCCAGTACTACATTTGGTCACATGAAACACACCAGGACGTTTCTTTAAATAACGAAGAACCTGAAATATTTACTGAAGCTACACTATCATTCAGAAGACCTTGGCAGGGGGGGAAAAAACAAATCGAAAACAAACACCAAAACTAAAACAACAACAACAACTGCAACCATGTTACAACTTACACTAAGACAAACAAACATCTCCAGCCACCTAGACACACACAGAAGTAAGCACTATTCTTCCCAGGGTGGTCCAAGCCTGTGCCTGACTGCTGAGTCAAATGCAAACGCACCGTGGACCTAGACAATGGCCAATTTTGGTTTGTTCTCTGTTGTTAAACTAACAATTTCTATAATTGATCTTTCTGCACCTAAACTGGTGCTCCCGCAAATTGTAATTCCAAAGCAGTGTTCCTTCCTGCAAGGAGGTACAGGTTCCACATGCCACCTCCTCAGCCACTCCAGGCTAACTGCAATTATTCCAAGGTGAGTCTCAATTCTTCTACCCTTTCTGTAACAGCGACTCCTAATCTCTGAAAAGCATTTTATCCACTCCACATCTTGTCTCTAGTTATTTATCTCTAATTATTAACTTATTTATACAAGAACTTACCCCTCTCACACAGAAGGCTATCAAATGACTTCTGGAAACCCTACCTACCATAGGAAATTAGAAACTTCCTTATATGTATTCTTGCTAACTCCTTCAGCGAGCTCCAAAAAGCTTTGAGGCACAACTTCTTTTCACAAAGCTCTGTTGACCTTTCCACAATGCATTATAATTACCACGTGTCCGGGAATTCTGTACATTACTGCAGTTTCTAATCAGCACAGACAACATCCTGAGTAAACATCCTTTTAGCAGTGGCCTCACACTGCATTTATATCCAACGACCTAAAGGTGTCTCGCTGAAGGAGTGATTACATACCGCTTAGTAAATTTACTTCATCACTTGGTTCCTATAGTTACTGGACGAACCTTGTCTGGTTCTAGCAACTTGCTTTCATTTTGTCCATTTGTTCTGAGGCTCCTGGAGTGTGCGGGAGACCACTTCCTGACACAGTTAGTGAGGGAGCCAAGTAGGGAAGGTGTCCCACTGGAGCTGTTGCTGGTGAACAGAGAAGGACTTGTGGGGGACATGATGGTTGGAGGCTGTCTTGGGCATAGAGGTCACAAAACGATAAGAGGTTTACAATTCTCGGAGCAGGAAGGAGGGCGGTCAGCAGCACTGCTGCCTTGGACTTCCAGAGGGTTGAGTCTGGCCTGCTTAGGAGCCTGGTTGACAGAGTCCCTGGAGGGCAAAGGAGTCCATGAAGGCTGGACATTCTTCAAGAAGCAAATCATAAAGGCGTTAAGAGCAGGCTGTCCCTGTGTGCCGGAAGAGTCGATGGGGAAGAAGAGCAACCTGGCTGAACAGAGAGCTTTGGCTGGAACTCAGGAAAAAAAGGAGAGTTTATGACCTTTAGAAGAAGGGGTAGGCAACCCAGGAGGACTAAAAGGATGATGTGAGGTTTTTCATGGAGAAAATCAGAAGGGCTAAAGCCCAGCTAGAACTTAATCTGGCTACTGCTGGAAAAGACAATAAAAAATATTTCTATAAATACATCAGCAACCAAAAGAGGGATAAGGAAAAGCTCAATCCTTTATTGGATGTGGGAGGAAGAATAGTGTCAAAGAATGAGAAAAAGGATGAGGTACTTAATGCCTTCTTTGCCTCAATCTTTAATCATTAAGACCAGTTGTTTTCCAGGTACCCAGCCCCCTGATCTGGAAGACGAGGACAGGGAGCAGAATCAAGCCCCCATAATTCAAGGGGAAATGGTTAGCCACCTGCTACACCACTTAGACACACGCAAGTCCATGAGGCCAGATGTAATCAACAGAGGTGTACTGAGGGAGCTGATGCAAGTGCTCACCAAGCCACTTTCCATCACCTGTCAGTAATCTTGGATAACCGGGAAAGTCCCAATCTACTACAGATTAGCCAACATAGCCACGTACGAAAAGCTAGGAGGATCCAGGAAACTACAGGCCTGTCAGTCTGACCTCGGTGCTGGGGAATGTTATGGAGCAGATCATCTTGAGTGCCATCACGCGGCACATACAGGACAATCAGGCGGTAAGGCCCAGTCAGCATGGGTTTACAGAAGACAGGTGTCCTGCTTGACAAACCTGACCTCCGTCTATGACAAGGTGATCTGCTTAACAGATGAGGGAAAGGCTGTGGGTCGGTAATCTTGGATAACCGGGGAAGTCCCAATCTACTACAGATTAGCCAACATAGCCACGTACGAAAAGCTAGGAGGATCCAGGAAACTACAGGCCTGTCAGTCTGACCTCGGTGCTGGGGAATGTTATGGAGCAGATCATCTTGAGTGCCATCACGCGGCACATACAGGACAATCAGGCGGTAAGGCCCAGTCAGCATGGGTTTACAGAAGGCAGGTGTCCTGCTTGACAAACCTGACCTCCTTCTATGACAAGGTGATCTGCTTAACAGATGAGGGAAAGGCTGTGGATATTGCCTACTTAGACTTTAGTAAAGCTTTTGACATCATTTCCCACAGCATTCTCCTGGAGAAACTGGCTGTTCATTGCTTGGACGAGCATACTCTTTGCTAAGTGACAAACTGGCAGGATGGCTGGGCCCAAAGGGTGGTAGTGAATGGAGTTAAATCCAGTTGGTGGCCAGTCACAAGTGCTGTTCCCCAGGGATCGGCACTGGGGCCAGTTCTCCAATATCTTTATCAGTGATCTGGACAAGGGGAATGAGCACACCCTCAGGAAGTCTGCAGACGACACCAAGCTGGGTGGGAGTATAGATCTCCTTGAG